TGAGAATTGTCCGATTTGTTATTTGTGTGTTGTATACCTAAGTGGCATACCCAAGTTACATAGATACTAATAAGTACATACATACATGACTTCTGCTGTACGGTATGAGTCCTGTGTATGTAAGGGCAGTACAGAAAAAGTGTTTGTTTCGTGATGCGCTGTCTTGTTTGGATTTGCCTTCCTGCATGTAAGAATGCTGCAGGTGTTCGTATCTTCCCTTCTTTCCCCCTCCCCAATTTCCACAAATGGTCGATAAACGGAGAGATAAAACAAGCTAATTCATCGGATCGTCCACAATGTCTTGGTTAAGCTTTTGAGAATAGATTAATGGAATAGGTTACCCCTGAATCATCAATGGTGTGCACACGCCTTTAGCATGGACCAGGGAAAGGAACTTGGACTTTTTTGCCTTGATGCTGGAATCTGGATGGATGAGATGGATTCTGGATGGCTAAGTGAAGTATTTGAGTGGATAATATGGAGTAGGTATGGGTATTTGGGTAAGGAAGGATATGGAGTAAGGATATTGAGGATCCTCGAGCAGACAAAGTTCACATCACAACGTCCTTATGTGAAGATGTTTTCGGAGAAGCGGCTGGATAGATATCGGTGAAACTTCCAACATACGAAAGAGGCTCAATGTAGCTCAGCCACCGTGAATGTGAATCAAAAAAGGATTGATATCGTATTGTCTGGGGTTATTGAAAAGGACGAAACTGAGTTGAAATCCGTGACCGATTGTGCATGCCTATCTAGAGACTTGGATATTCTTGGATGTTCTGTAAATGATCAGATGGGTTGAGAAAAGATAGAAAAGGATAGGCAGAAAAAGAAAACAATACAATGCAGAGAACAAGTCATGTAGTGTTTGTAAGATCAAGATACATCCTAGTATATTTCAATATAAACAGACTGTCTCGACTGTCTAGATATGCTCGAGCCATGCAGTGATACTCTCTCACTCTGTAGTATGTACACTTTGTACAGTCACGATGGCTATGAGATGAACCGAACATCAACTAGTCAAACCATCAAACACCGGTACCTGACTATCTTTTATGCTCTGGGAAGGAGAAAAGAGAGAAAATAGAGAAAAGAGCCAATCAGAGTGGATTGAGATATATAATTATCTAATTATCCGCCCAATTAGGAGTCAGACTATGCATGAAAGCGGCCTAGTGATAATAAGTTTTAAGAACGCATCTAAGCTCGGTCTTTTATTCCTGGATTCCGTACCTGAGAGTTAACACCTGCACACCTGCACACCTGCACATCTGCACATCTGCACGTCTACTCGTTCCTGACTAAATGCAAAGTATCTAGATTCTTTCCCCGCCAATCAATATCCATCAAGAAGCTCAAGAAAGTGTCTATCACACCTAGGTAGTATCACCATTCTACACGGTCCAATTGAATGGGCAAGACAAGGTGTGTGGATACGATATTAGCAAAGATGTTGTGGATTCCCAAAGAAAAAGAAACACCGGATGAATTTCTAAGCTTCATTCTCTATCTTCTAAGTTCTGGCTCGACTTTTCAACGTGCAGACAGAAGCAGAAACATCATTTACCCTTGCACAAATCGCTCCTCATCCCGTTCCCACCCCCCTTGTCGTTTAAAATCCCACACGATGTTTCTGTACTCCTTCTTCCTATTCGTCGGCTAACTACTGGCTAGGTTTTCGAACTCGCCTCCCGCTTTCTTATCTCACATAACTAGTTCGGAAAAGAGAAAGGAAAGACAAAAAGATGTTGTCAAAATAATTCACTTGGGTCATGTAGGGTTACAATTCACCATTCACCATTCCCTTGGCAATCTACATATAGACATAAGGATCAACTCCCTCCCTCGCTTTTCTTCTTCTTCTTCTTTCCTTTCCACAGCCTCACGTTACCTCTCATTTGCAACGTCCAGTCTGGCACATCTCATCATTTCGTATCTTTGAAAGATAGCGCAGGATTTCCATCATCAAACCTCTCAACCTCGAATTTAAAAATACTGCCTACTCCTTCCATACATTCATTTGATTCATTACGACTTGACGTGATATTGACGAAATCTTAAGAATACGAATTCACCCCTACCACCAGAAGCAACCTTAAAAGTTCTTCCTTAACTTTGAGTCTCCCGCACCTCTCCTGTCTTGCTCTCACAACCCTCCCTCTCTGGATTGAAAATAAAGTCGACGATCTTGTTCTTCCTTGCATTCACTGATTGAATCATCACACTCCTTCAATTTTTCTATCAAACACTCATCGAGATTGTTTGCTCAGCAAGACCACATTCTTTCTTCGATTCAGTCATTTGAATATCAGTCAACAACAGTTCAAGTCATTCTTCACTGTCAACTACCTTTCCAGGAACATACATACACACAACATAAATCGAAATACACCCCGTTTAAACAACACCAAAAAACATCATGCGTTCTTTTGAATTCAAATCCCTCGCCATTTTGGCTTCCTCTTTGCTGGTCAAAGAAACATTCGCTGCTCCCATCTACGAAACCGAAATCCATGTCGTTACAGAAGAAGTTACCGTCACCAGAGAACTCGATGGTTCGTACGCAACTGGTCATGCTCATGCTGTAGGAACTTACACTCAACATCACTCTGCTGCTGCTTCCTCTGTTGTCGTGGTAGCATCTACTCCAGCTCCAGCAGCAGTAACAAGTGTCGTGGTTGTTCCCACCAGTTCTACAACTAGTCATGTGGCTATAGAGTCTAGCTCTGCTAAGGCTTCTTCATCTTCTTCAGTAGCCGTTGCTAAGTCTTCCACTGAAGCAGCTGCAGCTGCCGTCTTGGTTCAAACCAGTGCCAAAGCCGCTGCCACATCTATCAAAGCAGCAGCAACTACTCTCGCTACTTCTGCCAAAGCCAGCTCTGCTGCCGCAGCTGCTTCTCCATCCAGCTATTCAAGCTCTTCCTCTGGTGGAAAGCGTGGTGTTGCATACAACACCGCAGATTATGTCAAGCAATTCACCGGTTCTTCCAAAGTCGCTTGGGCTTACAACTGGGGTTCATCCCCCGATGGTCTCTCCGCTTCTGGTATTGAATTCGTTCCTCTCCTCTGGGGCTTGAAGAGTACCTTCACCGGTGCTTGGTCCGCCGCTGCCTCCAGTGCCATCGCATCCGGCTCCACACATCTCATGTCCTTCAACGAACCCGATCTCAGCACCCAAGCCAACATTGGTGCATCCGACGCCGCCGCCGGTTACAAGACCTACATGCAACCTTTTGCCGGCAAGGCCAAGCTCGGTGCACCCGCCGTCACCAACGGTGCTTCGCCCATGGGACTCACCTGGTTGAAATCTTTCTTGTCTTCGTGCTCCGACTGCACCATCGATTTCGTCTGCATCCATTGGTACGATTCCGCCTCCAACGTCGCATACTTCAAGCAGTATGTTCAGGATGCGTACACGGCAGGTGGCAACCGTCCCTTGTGGATCACGGAATTCCAAGCCTCGGGTTCGACTGATGAGCAAAATGCGTTCATGAAGGAGGTTCTTCCTTGGTTGGATGCTAGCACAATGGTCGATCGCTATGCGTGGTTTATGGCTGATACCGCGGCCGGTGGTTTGATGTCGTCCACGAGCGCGTTGAGCACTTTGGGAAATACTTTCAAGACTGCTTAGGTTTTGAATTGATTGATTGGTTATGGGGATGGAGTATTGGGATGGATGGATGGATGGATGGTAGGAATGGATATGGATATGGATATGGATACATGGGGAGGAAAAAGTAAGGGCGGTTACATACAAGATACACTGATTGAAAATGACTGAAAAAATACGCGGATCTTCGTTGTATATACTTTACTTTACTTTACACTTTACATTTAGGTTACTTATTAGTTGAGGTGCCAGACTGGAGCTGTGGTTAGATGGCGATGATATTTGAATGGAATACGTTCTAGATACCTAGTAATCTGTTGCTTTCTTGATTGAATGTGAAAATGGATGGTAGATGTGCACGATTGTGATGTTCTAATTACCTAGCCTAGGTAGTTATTTGATGTGATGATTATTAGTTGGTTGGTTAGTTGATGAATCATTGAAACTTGAAGGCTGTAATAGATATCTTCTAGATCTTTAGACAGATTAGTGGAAATACCATATATATCAATATAATAATATCGTATCAACAAATCAAATATCGAAATCCATTCGCAATACAATACATTTCATTCCCTACCTAGGCGAGCTAGATACCTAGTATACGAAATTGTAAACTCATCTCCATGAGATATTTTAGACGTTGTGCTTTGTATTCCTTCTTGTATGGGTTTTGTATTTGCTATTTGCTATTTGCTATTTACTATTTGCTATTTACTATTATCATACAGTACAGCATAGCACGACACAGTATAGTATATAAAATAGCACAGTAAGGTTATAATATACCCCAGATATCCCATTTCCCATTTATTTTTATTTTTAATCCAATTTAATTTAATTTAATCTAGTTTAATTTAATTTCTATCCGGGATTTTCTCCAGGAGGTTGGAATGGCTCGGGGATTTTAATTTATCATAGGGATTTAATATCGAGATTTAATATAGTGATAGTGATCGCTGCTAGGGTGTAGAGTTCTTGGCATGGAGATTCGGGAAGGTGGGAAGGTATGTGGTAGGGAGTGGGGTTTGGACGATGATGATGTTAATAAGTGTGGAGGAGGGTAGAGAGGGGAGAGAGGAGGGAGAATGAAGATGTAGGTAGTTATTATGGGTTTTGGATGAGGAGGGAGTTGTTGTTGAGTTTAAGGATAGATAGATACTTGGTAGGTAGTAGGCAGTTTTGTAAAAATTGTAAATATTGATTTTAGAAGTGTGTGTACTTGTTATTATACTATTAATTATTTAGTTGTGTGTATTTGATCAAAATACATAGTATCTATACATAGTATATACCAACTACCAACTACCAACTGCCGACTACCAACTTCGCATATCAGATGAGAATGAAATCTGATGCACCAATACCTAGATACCTGGGCCTGTATCTACAAAACATCCTCCCCATCATCATCAACTCCCTTTCCATGCTTAACAGCAGACATTCCCTCGCCCCTAATCTCAAACTCCACACTTCCATTCAATCCCTCTCCACTTTCCATTGCCCATCCCGCAAAAACAATTTTCATCCATCGTCTCCATCTTTTTAATACTGGTTCTCCTCTCTCTCCTTCCTCCATGATTTCATTTCTTGCTCGTCCATAGACGGGCTTTTTAATAAGTGCTATTCGACATGCTATTTGCGTGGTCCAGATTAGACCAAGAGAGGGTGTCTTGACGTTTTTGGACGAAGTGTAAGAAGGGTGTGGATCATCGCCCCAGCCTGTGAACCAGCGTTGTTGATGGTCCAATGACATAGGATCTGGTGTTATGATGGAATAATCTCGAGATCCCACTCGATTGCCAATGCTACTACCGGGGACACTTGACATGGGAGCATTCATTGAACTTGATGGTACTGGCATAGCTCCGTTTACGCCTAAGCTCCTTTTCGCAAGTGGACTGCTTTGCATGTCTCTTTCCCTTTCTCTCTTCTGACCATAAGCCATTGGACTTGCTCTTCCACTTCCGCCTGTGAACCGATCGGCTACTTGATTGGCGACTACAATAGCGACTCCGTGTTCCCTTGCCAAGTTCCTTAATAGTTGCCCCAACTTGACTAATTCTGCACTTCTCTGAGCCATATTTCCACCTCCCTTTGTCACACCAGGTCTCTCAAATTCAGCTCTGTAGTTTGCGGCTACACTGTCCAATATAAGCAATCGAATGCCATGACGTTTAATAGCAACAGGGACTTGGAAACGAAGAATATGATCCTGGGATTCGAGATCAGGTGTTGAAATTGAGATAACTCTGTCGAGAGAAGGCGGAGATGAGTGAGAAGCAAGAAGAGGGTGAGTGCGCAAGAGTTGCGATAGTCGAGTTATGGGGAGGGATGATTCGGTAGATACGTAAAGAGTGGGAGCTGCGAGACCATGGGGTGCGGGAAGTTGAGCGGAGAGAAGAAGGGTTAGGAGGAATTGCGTTTTGCCTGCGCCGCTGAAATTGTGTTAGTTGGAAGACGAGGCAGACAAGGAATAGTAGAAAATCATGGCAATGGAAATGAGATATACCTCTCGCCTGTAACCTCCGTAATATAGCCTGCTGGAATACCACCTCCTAATGCGCGATCCATATCATCATCCAACGTACTTATAACCTCCCACTCATTCACAACTTCTTTTCCCGACTTCCTTAACTTCTTCGCCTCTCCCTTTCCGTCTATATTCTTTTCGTCTGCCGCAGCGTCCTCATTTCCAGGGTTCACCTCACCTATCCCAAGGTCTCCTCTCAAGTGTTCCAGCACATCTGCACACAATCTTTTAACATCCAAGAGAGGTAAAGTCGCACGTTTGGCTATCTCAACACAATCGAGAGTGAGCAGATCAGCGACGGTAACGAGATTCTTCTCCAGTGAAGGGAGGAGTCGCACATATTTTTGTGTGGGAAATTGGGGGAGGATATCTAGGAGGTCGGTCATGGAGGCATTGGGAAAGGTGGAAAGCGCGAGAATAAATTGCGAAAAAGGAAGAAAGGCTGGAACGCGAAAAGGATCTCGCGTCGCTAGGAGTCTCGTGTTCACGTGACTAGTTATTGCTATAGACTTTTGATTTCGTCACTGTTGAACTAAATTTGGCTTCAACCTTGGAGTCATTGAAGATTTTAAAAATTTATTCGTCGAAATGATTGCTATTTTCAAATATTCAAAACTTCTGTACGTGTGTATTCTAACAAGTATGGGATTCATCATGATACTTTGCTTTGCTTGAGCAAGTGTGCCTTATCTTATCTGATGCTTTTATCACTGACCCTACTACGATAATAGCTTAGCGTTCTTCGGCCTTCGGGTGGTTCCACTAGTATCTGGTAACCTTACCTCTAGGCGGGGAATATTATATCTACTCTGCAGCCGCCACTTCTACATCGCTTCTCTTTGTCGATATTTTGGATTTTGTGAATAGGATCTAGATGCTATTAGTACTATTGATAATTCATTGATTCAATTGTTCTACTCACCACTGGTATTGCAACAGTTGCAGTCAAGATTCCAAGACTGGAAACGAAAAATATCCAGCTTCTTTCTCCAAAAGCGTAACTCGTCCAAGCAGGACCGGCAAGAACTCCCGCTGCACTAGCGCTGGTATATAAGGAGAAAACTTGACCGCTAGCTCCCGTCTTACCGAAAATGCCGGGCGTCTCCTTCTCCATACTTGCTACCGCTCGACTCAAGTCAGCACCTAATGGTGATGAACCGAAGACTCTGGCGACGCCTGTGATTCATATCAGTAACCACTAAAAGCAACGATCATACAACTGGAGTGGAACAAGATTACCATAAAGTGTAAGAAGGATAGCAAGTCCAGCAATCTGATCAGTGCTATTCCTTTGTATCAAGACGAGTAAGACTGTGAAGACAGCAGATATGATAAAGTATAATGCAGTGAGCCATCGAGAAGGCCAGACATCAGAGAGTTTACCAGCTATCGGGGCTAGAAATATGGGAAATGTTATAGTCAAGAAGATTAAGCCAGCACCGGTTGAGTCCCAATTGAACTTTCGTTCCACAAATATTGGGAGAGCTGCATCGAAACTTGCGAGCAGAAATACAGTCACCCAAACACCGTACAAATCAGCCCATATGCGTGGGGATTTTAACAGAGTTACTAAGGCTATTGGATGCTTCTTGTTGTCTGCTGGCGGAGGTTGATTTTGGTTGTTCCCAAGCAGTGGCTCGGAGGCTATGTCGCTAGTGGAAGGCGTAGACGAATTTTGTTGTTCGAAAACGGCATTGTCAACACTTTGCTGAAAAGTCCCGTACGTCTGTGTTTCACCTATAGTTTTATCTATTTTCAACCTCGCGGCAACTTTTTTCTCGATCATGAACAAACGCATAACGATATCGATCGCAATAAGGATAAACATTACGATGAATAATGATCCATAACCAAGTCCCGCATACATTATGCCGCCTATGGTTGGGGAGATCAGCATTCCAATGTTGAGACTCGAAATGACGTATCCCATCCATTGTCCAATATCCTTTGAGCCAACTGTATCTGCAAGCAGAGCAAATCCTACTGTATATACTACAGCTGCCGAGAGTCCCTGAAGAAAACGGCTGAGAGCCAGTATCCAAACATTCTGTGCAAAATATAAGACGGCCGTGGCAGCTGCATTAGAGAAGAATCCCATGAGTAAAGGTGTTCTTCGTGATGAACTTTGATCAGCATAGTAGCCAAAGAGTGGACTCGCTATCAATTGGGCAAGGCCAAATGCTGTTAAAAGCATAGAATTCCAGAATTCGACTGGGAGAAATTAGCTTGCCGACTCCAAAACTATTTTTGAAACGTGGAATTCTATTCATACGGTCCTCATCTGCAATTCCAATTCGACTTTCCAGTTCGTTTGGAAGAACAGGAATAACGACTCCATAGATGAAAGAGTCCTATGACCTGGATGTCAGCACTCGTTTTCTTCAGATGCTCGCGAACTTGAAGCCCACATACACTGAATGATGCAACACAGATTGTGCTAACAATGAACCATTTGGATGAGCGGAAGTCCAGAAACCTTGGTTCTCTACGCTCCCCCTGCATTTCAGAAGTTTGCGTTTTGAACGGCCACATAATTGAAATTGAAATAAAAGAACCCTGGCTCTTGGGACCTTTTCGAGCTCTCAGTCGTGCGAATTATACAATAATGTATGATGGGAGAACTTCCAGAACTAAAATAGGAGAGGAGCTTTTTACCGAATTGTGCTGATCGCGCGATTTACCCCTTTAAGACTTGCATACATACGAAGCGCATGGAGGTAAAAAGGGGCAATAGTTTTCAGCCGTCATACTTCAGGTGGCTTGGCATGAGGTTTTCTCCTTCTGTTGCACAATGCAGGTGGCAATGCCACCCTAGCTCAGTGCAAGGCTTTAGGTTCCCCGCACCGTACAGAATCTTCGTACGACCAAGGCTGTTTTTGACTGCATTTTGTCGCATTGCATTATTAGTCTGCCTCAATTCGCTGCAAACATGTTCCGATCTTTCGCGATAATTATTATACATCGCGATTCAAATTGATTAAACCGCATGATCAATTGCTAGGGTCTAGAGTTGCAGATCGAGAAAAAAAACAACCTCTACATGGTAGTCTGGTTTCTTTTGTTGACAATTGTTTTTTATTTCATTGTAGAGGGTTTCGATATACACGCAAGATGCGATGCTCTATTTCTCCAGAGTCAAAACAAGCGTAAGTAAGAGGATACAGTTACGTAAATTCGCGCCCGAATGATCCGAGCTTCCTTGAAGTTGATCGTCTGCAGGATTATGTTTGTCTCACAATGTTTTATGCGCGTCAATGTTTCTGGAACTTTAGCCAAGCAGACGGGAAACTCGACGATCAATAGTGATCTGTACATGGGCAAATTACACTAGGCAATTTCATTGGTTTTGTTGCGATTTGAAATTTCTGTTTTTGAGGTGTTATAACTTATTAGACAGTTTTTGACAACATCATGATGACACTCAACGTAAGTGCTCTGGAATCTGTTCATCGCATATCATGATGTTGTTTAATACAATTGTTTCAAAGCAATGTTTTCACCATTTAACGAGGAGAATAAAACGTTCATTTTTCATTTCATTTAGGAAAGGTCTGATCAACCCCAAGGTTATACGGTGATTGGGTTTCAGAACTCTCATAATTCAGTTCATATTCTACATATTTTCAGCCCGTAAATGGCCTAGCTTGATGGTGCCGAGACAACCAATGGAGCTATTTAAATAAGCGCAAGGACGTGGAACGTTCCGCCCTTGTCTTAGATCTCATTGCATCTTGCGGAGAACCCTCCTGGTTACGCAAGCCACTTAAAACGTACGCTCTTCCTCATCCAAATTTTTATATAGTGACATACACTCGCTACAAGATATATTGACATCAGAGAAATTTGATCCATGGTCTCAATGTGGCTTCATTACTGCCCCATACGGAAATGACTGCACTAGATTGTGCCATATGCGCCAGAAGAAAGAGGAAAGTCAACGAGTCATGTGGGTGTTCAGTTATGTACGATCCTAGATGTTTTGACTTGATCTTTCAGCCCCTTTCCCATATGATATAATGGATGCCGGCTCAGTACGCTATGCAGCTACCAGGAAGGAATTTTACAATGCAGATGGAATCAAGGTTAACGGATTGGAGTTACTGGAGATGATACGAATGAGCTGAAAGAGCTTCGCGAAAGAATCCCTTCCGCGCCGGGCTATGACTACATCGAGAGTTGGGTCTGTGTAGTCAAATCTTAACATTGAATGATTGGAGCACGTCATGTAGAAGTAACACTATGTTCTGAGGCTATCCAGGGCAATCTACCCTCAAAGCCAGGGCGCGTGTAAAATCGGAAGTGATACTCTCCAAGCCCGCAGGCTGGGGTTGCAGTCTATAACCCGTTGATCTATGGAGATCAGCTTCGAAAGCTATGATGGCTGAGAAAAGGTAGGGGGATGGAGGCTCGGGTAAATGATTCATAGCCCATGTCTTACACTTGAAAATCGAGTGATGTTGAAGGATAAATTGTGAAGAGATTCGTCTGCATTCAACATTGATTGAAGCTCAATTCGAAGATTACAGTCTCTGAAAGTCAAAAACGCTTCCTCTCCGTTATTTGCTTTAGGTAAGTTTTTTGACCCCTGAGATCTTTTCGCGTGCACTGATAAACTTGGATTGCTTAGAATTTATTATGACAATAACAGCTAAGCACTTCTCTCCCGACCTCATTCAGAGGGACCAACGCCAGGTCAAGGGAGACCGCGTTGAGAAATCATACTCTGCGATGGATTTGGATCTTGCATCTAAACACTATCTTTCAGGCATCCTCCACAGTGAGCTTCGTCCAGCCCAAACCACGGACACGGATAATTACCTCAGCCAAGGGGAAGGTTCTGTCAAGCCATTCTCTCTTCTAGATCCTACGCAGAGCCATGATGAAATTCGAAGACAAATGCCATCAGATGCAACATTCATCGATGTCTACCCTTGCACGGCTCTTCAAGAAGGGCTGCTGGCATTATCAATGAAGGAGTCCGGCAGTTTTACTCCTCAAATAATATGCAAGCTCCCCAGAGGCATTGATTTGAATAAGTTCAAAGCTGCTTGGCAGAGCACAGTCGATTCAAATTCGACACTTCGAACTAGCTTCGTTCAAACGCGGACTTTAGGCCTACTTCAAGTAGTTTTGGCGCCAGAACCCATCCTCTGGTCCGAAGAGATCGACCTCGAAAGCTACTTGAGCAACGACAGAATTATCTTCCCTTCATTTGGAAAGCTCCTATTGAGATACGGTCTCATTCAAAGCCACTCATCTGATTCATTATATTTTGTTTGGACTTTTCATCATGCCGTTCTTGATGGATGGAGCATGCGCTTGGTACTTCGACAAGTCGAAGAATCATACAGAGGAGAGAGTTTTCAACCGTTGGTGGAATTCAAGTGTTTCATTGCCCACCAAATGAGACTTGAGAAGCAATCACAGAAAGCGAGTGAAATGTTCTGGAGTAATCATCTAGCAAATATTTCGGGGGCACAATTTCCAGTTGTCCCATCGCAACATCAATCGCGTGCGAATGGCTACTCGGAAAGATTTATTTCCGTGAAGGAAAACCTATTAGCTGGTGCAACGACCTCTACAATTATACAAGCTGCATGGGGAATCCTAGTAGCACGACGTACCGCTGCGACGGAAGCTACTTTTGGTCTCGTGCTTGCAGGGCGAAATGCAAAGATTGTAGGTCTCGATATGAGAAGAGTAAATGGTCCAACATTCAATTCATTACCGATGCGAGTAATCATTGAGGACAAAAAATCTGCGGAAGATCTATTTGCTTCGGTTCATGATTCTCGAGTCGCCATGAAACCCCATCAGCATCTTGGCCTACAAAATATCCGTAGGCTCGGAACGGACTGCACAAAAGCTTGCAGCTTCCAGAATCTACTCGTTATTCAACCCAGATTAGAGAGAGATCCCAACAGTATATTCGGCGCCAGAGAGAATACTAGTGACCACTGGGCAAAGTTGAATGCTTATCCTCTCATGATGCAATGTGATTTGATGGGAGATGGCTTCACTGCAATGGCCAGTTACGACTCTCACGTTTTATCTGACCAAGAAGTCAATATTCTGCTGCAACAATTTGACAACATCATATCTCGTTTGTCCGATGCAAACACACTGGTTGGTAATATAGGGCTGGCAATGGAAACCCCACAAAAACAATTAGCAATTCAAGAAACCGAAGCTGAAGAGGTTCATTCGTGTGTCCACGAAGTCATTCAGCAGAGTTCGCAAAGCCGCGGATTCGATGTAGCGGTGACATCTTGGGATGGAGAATTGACGCATTCCCAATTACATTCTATATGTGATCGTCTAGCATATCTTCTACAGCTCGCTGGTGTTGGACCCGAAATCAAGGTTGCACTGATCTTTCAAAAATCTTTGTGGGCTGTAGTCGCCATGATGGCAGTGATGAAAGCAGGAGGAACTTTTGTTCCTATGAGCCCCGACCATCCTGAAGAGCGAATCAGAAAGCTGGTGAAGCAAATAGGTGGCAAGATGATCATGTGCTCCGAAAGTCTCCTCCCCTCGCTCGAGGGTATCGCAGACAAAACACTTGCTGTGGGAAAATCGATGCTCGAAACCTTGCCCGAAGGAGTGCTGGATGCAAGTGTTCAGCCAAACAATTCTGTTTATATTATGTTCACTTCTGGCAGCACTGGAGAACCAAAGGGATGCGTTATAGAGCATGCTACTTGCTGTGCTACTATGCGTCATCTCTCCAATATCTCCAAAATGAGTCCTCATAGTCGCACTCTTCAGTTATCGGCATATACTTTTGATGGCATGGTTTTCGAGATTCTTGTTACTTTGGGTGTTGGAGGCGTTGTTTGCATACCTTCAGACGACGAGAAAATGAACAACATTACATCAGCAATCAACCGAATGCAAGTTAATACTGCATTCATGACACCTGCCTTTGGGAGATTGATCCTTCCAGAATCTGTGCCAACCCTAAAAACTCTTCTTATAGGAGGAGAAAAAGTGATCCAAGAGGATTTAGATCAATGGTCCGGAAAGTTGCGGTTATTGCAAGTGTATGGACCTACGGAATGTTGCTGTAAGTTCCATTATATTTTTCTTCGCCATACTCATATCTACGTTGGGTTTCTATATTAATCTCCTATGTAATCTGGCCAATGCATTATAATCTAATTGTTTCTTATTTTCCTCTGAAGTTCTCCTTGGTTTGCAGCTACTAACTCTGGAATGCTGCAGGCATGTGCACTGCTACTGAAATCACTGGGAAAGGTGTGAACCCTGCTAGACTGGGGTCTGGTTTCGTCGGAAGCTTTATTGTGCTTGACGAGAACGACCAATTAGCTCAACGGGGAGCTGCAGGTGAATTATTGATTGGTGGAACACTTGCGAGGGAGTATTTCAAAAATCCCGAAAAGACGGAGGCGTCATTTGTCCCTACGCCTTCCTGTATCCCTGCTGAATCTACTCGATGGAAAAGGTGGTATAGGACAGGTGACTTGGTCAAAATGGATGCCGATGGATCAATCGTATATATCTCTCGGAAAGAAGCGGTAAGTGATATCCCTATTTTGAGTCTCAATTATTTTTCTTGAAATTCCTTGACATGTTGTTCATTTCAACCTCAATTTATGAAGCCCGGAAACATGGTACAACTGGAATATTCCAGCATGTTCAAGCTTGTTCAGGATCTTTCCTATCCAGTTGAAGTCCTCCGAAACTCCACAAACAACTGGGAAAAATATACCATTCAGTGACCTAGTAGTGACTGAGATCGTATACTAAACATATTGTAGGGTGCACAAGTCAAGCTAAACGGCCAAAGAATTGAGATGGGTGAAATCGAAAGTCATCTTCACAAAAATCTAGACAATGTTATAGATCTTGCCACAGTGGTAGCAACCCCTGTGGATGGCAGATCGCCATTCCTAGCAGCCTTCTTGTGTTTTAGAGATGGTGGTAATAGTAGAGAAAAGGAAGAAAGCTCACTTTTCAAGAAGTGTCTTGATGAGTCAATCGTCCGATCACTTCTTGACCGCTTGAGTCTTGTACTGCCACAATACATGATACCAAAAGTATACATACCCATATCATCGATACCACTTACTATCTCTCAGAAGTGTGATCGCCAAACCCTACAGACTCTTGCAGCTAGCTTAACGCCCTCAGAATTTGCATATTATTCTGGTCAAGATGCTACACACTCCGCTCCTTTGACCAACAACGAGCTTCAAATGCAGCGTCTATGGGCCGTTATTTTAAAACTTCCAACACGTAGCATAGGCAGGAACGATAGTTTTACACGTCTTGGTGGAGATTCCATTCTTGCTATGAAGCTCGTTGCAGCTGCACGAGAAGATGGCATAAATTTGACGGTTGCAAACATATTCCAAAGTCCGATCCTATCAGATTTGGCCAAAACACTAGTGGATGCCAATTCCTCTTCAGTTGTTGGACAGGACAATATCCCTGCATTTTCTATGATTGGAGGGCGCGTTCAGCTGCTGAAAGCAACCATTGATGGTGGTCTCAACCCAGAGCATGTTGAAGACTTGTACCCATGTACTCCTTTTCAAGGATCTATCATGGCACTCTCAATGAGCCATCCTGGCACGTATGTTGCACAACACGTTTTTGAATTATCCAAGGACATATACTCTAATATTGACAAGTTCTGTGACGCTTGGAATGAAGTTGTACGTTCGAATCCAATTCTACGAACGCGTATCAACCAGCACGAATCAGCAGGCCTGGTGCAAATGGTTATCAGAGAAGATGTTACATGGGAGGTGCAAGATAACCTCCAAGGATATTTGGAATCTGATAAAGCGCAGCCTATGGGCTTAGGGAGTCCTCTTAGCCGTTATTGTATTGTCGAAGAGACAATATCAGCCGATCACAAGTATTATTTCGTCCTTACCCTACATCATGCAGTATACGACGCCTGGAGCATAAATTTGATGCTTCAACAGGTGGGAAAAGAGTATGGAAGACTCGCGCACATTCCTAGGAATGATGCCAACTTACCTCAACCCCAAAATATTCCGTTCAATCGTTTCATGAAGACCATTGTCGATTTAGATCGTCTTGCAGCAGAAAACTTTTGGATATCAGAGCTTGCGAGTGAAGGTGCAAAGATTTCACATTTTCCAAGCATCAATTCTGGCTACCAACCTCAGCCTGGTGCAACAGCCATTAAAGATATCAAGTTAGTTCGAGAGGCTAATTCCGACTACCGAATTTCGAATATTATCCGAACAGCTTGGGCAATTGCCATAAGTAACTACTCCAATTCTAACGATATCATCTTCGGAGAGGTCTTGACAGGCCGTACTGGTTCATCAGCCGATCTAACTCGAGTAGTTGGACCTACATTAGCTACCGTTCCGGTGAGTAAATCTTTCACATTTTTGGTCTTTGACGAAATAGGATGTGGATGTGGTTGAATGTGTCGCTTTATCAATTTGTCGGCTGTTTATGTCACCTGAAATTCATGTATTCTATTTCTTTCCACAATTTCTATCGAAGAGAGTGCCTGAGAAGATTGCCTTTCAAGATGAAGTCTTGTCACCAAATTCCTGGGAGTAGAGTGGGCATCTTGTGATTTTTTGCGGCCATGTACTGACTTTCCAATTTATAGGTTAGGATCACATTGGATCCTCAGGGCACAGCTCTTAGTCTACTGAAGAAGGTTCAGGCTAAAATGATCCAGATGATGCCCTTTGAACAGATTGGTCTATCCAATATTCAACGATTAGGCGAAGGACTGAACAAGGCATGCCAGTTCCAGAATATCTTGGTCATACAACCTAGAGAAAATTCAGCCATCGACGACTCATTTATGGGACGACGTCGAATGGATCTTGTGGAAGCAACTGTATGGGATACAAATGCTTTAACTCTAGAATGCCATCTTACTGAGGAGGGAATGAAGGCCAAGGCAATCTTTGACTCGGAAATTATAGACAGTCGACAAATGGAGAGGATGCTCTCCCAGTTTCAGCACATCCTTCAGCAATTATGCCATGAAGACGCAAGAAAATCTGTCCAAGATATCAACTCTATCAGTGAAGTTGATCTAGAGCATGTTTGGGAATGGAATTCTACATTACCAGAGGTAATGAAGTCTTGCGTACATGAAGTTATCGATATCATGACAAAGCACGATCCTCATGCCCCAGCAATTGCCTCTTGGGATGGCGATTTGACTCGCGCTGAGCTAGATAGTCTATCATCTCGTCTAGCGTCTCAATTGATGAAGTATGGAATAGGGCCAGGAAGCAAAGTGCCTCTATTCTTCACGAAATCAAAATGGGCCATCGTAGCTACACTGGCAACTATCAAGTCTGGAGCTGCATTTGTACCCTGCGACCCTTATCATCCTCGGTCGCGTCTTCTTTCACTTATTGAGCAAGTCAACGCTCAAGTAATTCTTTGTTCAAACGACGTTCGGCAGTCCTGCTTAGATTTGTTTCCCTGCGGTAAAACAATTGTGGTGGAGGAAAGCGAGATCGAACTGTTACCAGAACTAACAGACATTTTAAGCAATGTTAGCCCTGTGGACCCTCTCTACATCTGTTTCACCTCAGGTACTACTGGGACTCCCAAAGGTACAGTAGTGACCCATGAAGCATATTGCTCGGGCGCGAGAGATCATGGTAAAGCGCTTCACTTTGGACCAACTTCACGATTTTTACAGTTTGCGTCCTACAGCTTCGACACCTCTATCGAGGATATTTTAACAACCCTGATGACGGGAGGCTGCCTTTGCATACCATCTGGTAAGTACTATTGATCGCCTTTTAATCGAAAAAAAACTAACCGGTACACTAATAGAGGGAGAACGGACTTCAGATATCGTGGGAGCAATAGCTAGAATGAATGTTAACACGGCAGACCTAACACCTTCTTATATAAGCTCGATCTCACCTGAATCTGTTCCTACATTGAAGAGAATAACTCTTGGTGGAGAGCCTATCACTGCTAATGTTATCAAAACCTGGGCAGATCGCGTTCATTTGATTAATGCTTTCGGAACTACTGAATGTTGCGTGTAAGTGTATACCCAATTTCGAGATCCTGGATCGAAACTTGCAATTCATATTCTTTCCTTCCTTTTGCTTGAGGCGTAGTTTCTCTGTCTTAGCTCCTTTAAAGTTAGCGCTGCATCATACTGACCTAAATGTCTTCTAGAACAAGTGTAGTGAATGCAGATATCTCTCCCAGCACATCTCCTACAAACATTGGGCGTGGAGCAGGCGCAGTCACTTGGATTGTTGATACTGAAGATTCAAACCGTCTTCTACCAATCGGTGCAATTGGTGAACTGCTAATTGAATCACCCGCCATGGCCTCAGGATATCTTGGCGACGAGGTGAAGACTAGAGCCGTTTTTATCGATAGTCCCAAATGGGCTCGTAATTTCAGCTCGAGTCACCGTCCTACACGTCTCTACAAAACTGGCGATCTTGCCCAATACAACTCTGATGGAACAATCAATTACCTCGGCCGGAAGGATACTCGCATCAAACTTCGTGGACTTCGCATAGAAATTGCTGACGTGGAGCATCACATACTCAGTCATCCACAAGTTAGAAAAGCCATGGTTGTATTGCCTACTTCTGGGCCATATGTTGATCAACTTACGGCTGTAATCGAGCTCGAAACCTCAACAGACTCGGAGATAGCCAGTGGCATTGCGGTAGTTTCTCACTTGGAACTTGAAGCTTCCGGATTCAAATGGTCCCGAATTGCAAATCACCTGTTAGATCACCTGCCAAGTTACATGATTCCTTCTTCTTGGGTCGCAATGAAGACCATACCACTTCACACGTCCGGAAAGCTGGATCGTCCTAGACTCACCAAGTGGCTTAATAGTCTTCCGGTGATCCAAAAAGCTGAGAGTTATCCCAAGAGCAGCGAAGCACCTTTGTTACCATCAGATGATCATATTGCATTTGAAATCAGCGATAAAATTGCACAGCTTGTTGCAACGAAGCCTTCATCACACCTAAATTCCGATATCATAGGTCGTGATGTTAACCTTGCTTCTATTGGAATTGACTCCATCAAGATGATGTCCCTTGCAGCTTTCATTAAACGATCGTATGGTATCACTATACCTATGCCCAAGCTCATCAACTATCAGACCGCAATTTCGGATGTTTCAAAACATATTCGGTCTGCGACCAAGTTCAAAGGCGAGAAGCCCATAGACTCAGCACCTACTCTTGATTTGATGCAAGAAATAACCGATCTAGACATACAACTAGCCTCAATGCAGCATTACTTTGGAGTTGTTTTCTTGACAGGTGCCAGCGGATTTCTGGGTACTCAGATACTTCGAGAACTTCTTGAAAGACCTGGCGTCAAGAAGGTTATTGTGCATGTACGCGCTTCATCCAATGAGAATGGCAAACAACGGATCATAGCAGCAGCTAAATCCGCAAGATGGTGGCATGAAACTTTCGCAACGAAACTCGAAATATGGACGGGAGACTTAGCTAAACCTATGTTAGGTTTGAGTTTCGGGCAATGGCAAAAACTAAGCACAGTCGATGCCATCATCCATAATGGAGCTTCAGTGCAATGGAATGCGGATTATCACACTCTTAAAGCTGCCAATGTCACGTCTACCTTTGATATTCTGAAGAATATTACAGGAGCTGTGTCGCCTCCGAGATTCGTCTATGTATCTGGAGGTCGTGATTTCGAAGGAGAGATGGATGATAATACGACCGCAATGAGATTGAAGGGACTTGATGGTTATAGCCAGACGAAGTTCGTTTCAGAGCTCCTGGTAAGAAACTTTGCTCAACGAGCCACATCTTTTGCCCAAGGCAATCATGTCTCTATCGTCAAACCGGGACTGATCATTGGTACAACCCGGGAAGGAGTGGCCAATACCACTGACTTCCTATGGAGATATGTAGCTGGCGCAATAAACGTCGGCGCATATCCTATTCCAGACAAAAATGATTGGTTGACTATTGCACATGCGGATTTCGTCGCAAATTCGACTATCAATGCCTTGGTCAATACTCCCAGTGACTCAAATTATACATTGGATATAACTGGCGGAATCGACATGCAACGATTCTGGGATATTGTCAATAAAACTATGGGGCATGAACTTCGCCCGACTACTTCAAGTGGATGGGCGAAGTTGATCCAGAAGGATATGGAGAAGAAGACGGAAGCCCATCCGCTTTGGCCGGTAGCTCATCTTATCACTGAGGAGGGAAATTTGGGCAAGAGTAAGAGACCAAGGGAATTGGATACTGTGTTTGAGAAGCAGATAGAGGAGGCGATCAAGAAGAATGTGGAGTATTTGAACGAGATTGGTTATTTTAGGTAGGGGGGTTGGAGGTTGCGAGGCAACAATGGCAGGACGCTGGTTTTCGCTTATCAAAAGTCTGGATTATTTGATGCAGTTTTTTCTACTGAACCTCAATGTCTCTTATTTGATTATAACTTCACATTCTCTCGGCTCCAATCAAATCTTGTGACCAATAGAATCTTCTGTCTTTGCATCTTGCTGGTGACTGTGTGACAATCAGTGAGCTATTTCAATATTTTCAATATCGCAAGAAGATAGAGGTAGGGACGCAGTGATTATTGGCTGTTTTGCATCCATCACATGTGCCAAATATACCAACATGTAGGTACATCATGACCAATACTGAAGAACTATGTGCCACAAATACATGACAATGTACCAAGACAAGATGCGGAAATCTAGGGGGAAAATCATAGTCTAATTTCTATTTGGTGTTCATGTTCTAGATATTAATCCTTAAACATCATGACATTCTACACGTGAAATGCTACATACTTCCCATGAGCTCCCGATGTGCTGGATAATCCATTTGAAATTGTAAAGATTCGCCCAAACAAACAGTTACTTAGGTCCCTATCACCACTTTGAACACTCAAACTATTGAATGATTAAACAAATATGTTCCTTGCTCGGTATCGAATACACAGATACCCCTCAGCAAACTACAAAAACAAAGAGCACCACTCTCACATTGGACCACAAAAGAATCATCCAGATAAAATGTACAAATTGGGTATCTACCTATTGATTCTCCTCCTTAATACAAAGCTGCAAATTCTTTTAACTCCATTCCATCTATCCCTACATACAATAATAACTTTACAATTTATACATATCTCGTTAAACCACCGGAAACTTTTTTCCTAAGCCTTCTGCCCATCGCGCATATAGTACATCAGCAAGCTGTTTTGTATGTTCCATTCCTGGCACTATTTGACCTGGTAGATTTGATTTTTCCTTTGCATCTACCTCGGGCATTGCGCTGGACTGTCGACGACGGTGACTTTTAAGGTGTGGGTTACTCGTTGCTAGTACTAGTTTTCCATTTGCGCCTTTTTGGGGAGAACCTTGAGGTGTGCCGTCTCGAAGGACCAAAGCTCTGCTTGGAGACATGTGTGAGGCGATTTTGGGTTCTTGCTCTACTTTGTCTATCAAGAGCTTGAGGAGATGATATTCGCCCTCTGGATCAATAGCGTCAAGGGCGGCCCAAGCATCGGCTAGGCGAGACAGTGCTTGTCTTTTGGCTTGATCTCCTGTTTGTGCATGCATTTCTTGGAATACTGGGTCAACGACTTTTGCATATGCACGTCGGCCAAGGTATGCTTCTTTTGTATTCGCTTCTGCTACTTGCACAAGTGCTCTGTTTTCATCACCCTGACGAGATGGAATTTCGGCTGAATCTTCGGGACTGCTTGGCCGAGATGATGACGTTGAGTTATTTGATACTCGGCGGAATAATCGGACTGTTGAACCAGTATTTCCAAAACTCATGTCTGGTGCTAGTGGAGGTCGTCTGGTTGTACCAGTTTGACTCTGTGTACTGTTACCCCGTGGCCTGGTTGGTGAAGAGTGCTGCATCGCTGGTGGTTGTCTTCTGACGGTACCTCTATCAGATGATAGTGACGGAGGTGAAGAATACTCTAAAGGTGAATCTTTGAGATCTAATTTTTTGAAAGCCTCCTCAGGAGGAGCTTGACTACCCTGGCCATTTGCATGGATGGCAGAAAGCTTTCTTCTCTTGCTTCCATTCTTTCGTGATGGTGCTACAGTGATCGTAGAAGCCTTGACTGTATCAAAGACCCATCCATCAGGCTCATATTTTGGAGTCATTGTATTGCTGGAGTTTGTTAGTTGATGACAACAAGCCCAGATAGCTTCGATACTTACAGTGTTTCCTCATAGAATTTAGGATGTGATGGCCGAGTCCTTGACCCGTCCCACTCCTGTCTTCTCTCCACTAACTCTTGCAAAGCCTCAACTTTTCCTGCAGAGCGTATGAATTTATGCTTCAATAATTCCTTTGCCGAAGGTCTTCGATCACAATCTTTAACCAAACATTGTGCCACAAAATCCTTAAAGTCCTTGCTGTAATTTGAACCTTCTAATCTTGGTGCCGGTGCTTTAGGTATCTGAAATAGAACCTTCATTGGATGTATCGAAGCATGTGGTGGTTCTCCATTGACCATCTCTATTGCGGTGATTCCGAGGGACCAAATGTCTGCTTTGAAATCGTATCCTGCTTGTTGAATAACCTCTGGCGCCATCCAGAATGGGGTACCGACGAAAGTATTTCTTTGTGATTTAATATTCGTGAGCTGTGCTGCAACTCCAAAATCTGCCAGCTTAACCTTGCCAGCAGTCGATAGTAATATGTTTGCTGCCTTTATATCTCTATGTATCTTTCCCTCTTGATGGAGATACTCGAGACCTAATAGGATCTCTCGACAAACAATCGCAATGTGGGCTTCGTGAAATGGAGCAGGTTTCAGCTGCTTCCAATTAGCAATGCATTTAGTTTCCCGAGTGAATATAATCATACCAAATCCAAACATGATCCTCCTCCCAGAAACTCCATGACAATCCATAATTTATGACCTCGCAGAAAACTTCCTTTGTATTGAGTAACGTATGGACTGGCGCAGGTGCTGAGGACCGATATCTCTTGTTGAATTTCCTGAATGTCATCTTCACTCGACTCTAAATCAATCAATTTAATTGCGCAAATCTCTCCCGTCGCTCTTTCAATGGCTTTGTAGACGACGCCAAAACTTCCACTCCCCAGTTCCTCGAGGACTTGGTACTGCGTTGTTGACATAATTTTGGGAGTGATTGTGATATTTTATCGCTGCTGGTTGTTTCCTACTTATCGGCGGCACCCTGCCCAAACAAAATGGATTTCTTTCGAGAAAATCAATCGACGTCCAAGATGAAATGCAAATACAAATGCAAATGCAAATGAAAACGAAAATGAGAAGGAAAACAAAATTGATATAGATATAGATATTAAATTAAAAACGACCGAGACCTTTTTTTTTTCTTTTATTAAAATGTAAACAAAGTACGATCGAACGTGATCAATGTCTCTTAACGAAATCGGATAAGGTTCTTTGTTTACCCAGCTCAGCCATTTCAGCGTTGCCGGGCTAATGGTGAGGTGCCAACAAACCAAAGCTATTATATGTTCCTATTCATATTACTGGGCAGATTTGCAAAAATTCAAGATCCTTTAAATTGTCTCGAGTCGAACATTTGGTTACTTTTGCCATTTCACAAAATCTTGCCATTTATTCTCAGATGCATTGATCTCGGACTTTGGGAATATTCCAACCCCAATGATTCACCGATAGAAGTCGCAACACCTCAACCATGACGCCAGCCCCGGGTACTTTGCCTACTCGCTTTCCATGCTGGTGCCGAGCTATATATTCCTTCAGCGGAGAGGTAAGTGCAATGTACATTGCGATTTTCTACAGTCGAAAGCTCTAACCATACCATTGCGCAGTCAAAACGCGACTTGGGCTTTATTGAGGGGGATTTGATAGAATGCTTGAACGCAGGAGATGGATCATGGTGGATGGGTCGATTGCGGAGGGACAAGAGAGTCATGGGATTGTTTCCTTCGAATTTCGTACAAGTGCTGGATGAGAGTTTCCGACCAACGAGTAGAACATCGAGTCCAATGCCGGATCGAAGTCCCAGTCCAAACCCCTTCAAAAACCCAACAGCTCCGACGAAGCCCAAGACAAAATCGATGCGAAAACCATTCCAAGCTTATGCTGCGCCAGATATGGGGGCATTAAAGAGGGCGGAAGCTAGGGAAAAGGAACGTCTTGCGACTTTGAATTCTCGAATACCATCACCAGCCGCCAGGGGTGGACATGATGGGGCAAGGGCGCCTTCTCCTCAACCCCAGCCTCCTCTATATCAGTCGCGGATGCGCTCGCCAGCACCATTTTCTCAGATTCCAAGCCATGTATCTCGCGCACCCTCTCCAGGCCCAAGCCATTATACATCCCGCGCTCCCTCTCCTGCGCCAAACCACTATACATCTCGTGTACCTTCGCCTGCGCCTAACCATTATACTGCTCGTATACCGTCGCCTGCGCCCAACTATTACAACCCTCGGGTACCATCTCCTGTGCCAAATCACTACACATCTCGAGGGCCATCTCCCGCTCCTAACCATTATATATCTCGAGGGCCATCTCCCGCTCCTGGCCATTACATATCTCGAGGGCCATCTCCCGCTCCTGACCATTACGCATCTCGTGCGCCCTCGCCTATTCCCAACCAATATGGATCTCGTGCTCCTTCTCCTGCTCCCTCGTTTGGTTACCAAAGTTATTCTCGAGGTCCATCGCCTGCGCCTCAATTTGACAGAGGAGGTACCTCATCTCCACCACCACCTCCACCGCCTCATCGCAGCACTTATGCTCCCCAAGCATCTAGAGATACATACGAAAACAATTCGAATACCTATAATATACCATTGGCAGTATCACCATGTCCACCATCGCCGGCGGGCACAGGACGCACTCCCTCCCCTTTGCGAAGTGCAATGGATGATGTAATGCTATCTTTGGCAGATATGGGAGTAGCTCGAGAGTCAGAAATCCCGGAAGCACCAATCGACCCATGGTCTCCTGAGGCATTTGATCAGACGTACATATCATCAAAACGTGCACCTAGATCTAATACAGCTATTGCAATTCCTGAAGAACATAATTCAACAAGTGCTGATAATTACGCCAATAACATGCAACCTTACCAACCTACAAATACTCCCCCACCACAACTTAGCAATTACGTTCAAAGAATGGAGAATAGATTAAGTAAAATGTATTCCTCGACGCCTCGTTCCCCAAATGATGATGTCCGACCAGCAGTCCCTCCTAAATCGAGTTCATATGCTTATGAGAGCCGACCAAAATCGTCTATGAGTATAAATACACAGTCAAGCAAGCTTCGCCACCGGAAATCTGCATATGAAGTTGGTAAATCTATGCTAGGGAGGACTTTCACCACAAGAACAGACAAGACAGATTCAACAAGCTCTTCCTCTGGTACTCGCAGCACCACTACCAATGGAAGCTCGAGTACTCAAATGACTGATAAAAGCCTCATGAGTGGACCTTCTGCCGGTGGTATCTCTTCAACTAGTGCCGGAAGCTTAGCCAGAAAGCGGGAATTGCTGTACGGTCGAGCTCAGAGTGCGCTCGGTTCACGAAAGGATAACTATCTAGGGATGAACAACAGTCAACCTGATTTCACTACTGGCCGATCTCAGACGCCAATGACCGGCATTTCATATCACAGTAGTCATGCTTCGGATCCTTCTCGTATGCAGTCACCAACTGGCTGGCCAGGTTCTGCAGCAGATGGCAATGCTGCTCTTGGTGGTCTCATGACACCCAAATCCAAGAAAAGCGGGTTCTTCAAAAGAATGGTCGAGTCCGCTAAAACAGGTGCTGCGAGCGCTAGGAGCAGTATCGCTGTTGGTGAATCTTCCAGGCCGCGAGTTCAGGCACATAGTTCATTTCCAGCGGGAACTACGTCAATGGGAGGTGGTGGGTTTGGGAACACACCGAACTCTAATACCTCTAATGAAGTTGGACCTGGAGGTAGTACCGTGGGAGTCGATTGGGTTCAGGTGCGACGAGACATTAACAGATCGAATTCTTTGAGTAAGATTGAGCGAGTTGAAAGAAAGGAGAGATGCCAGATGATGGATTATCCCGCTATAAGTCCTGTGGAAGAGCTTCTCGAGGGGTGCGATGGTGACGAAGGAGTTAATGGTAAACCAGTTGTTGAGCCAACCAATTTTCAAGCAGTAAACCTCAGCCTGGTTGACAAGAACACAAGATTCATCAATAGTCTTCCGCCCATGTCTAACCCTATGAGCCTAGCCACAGGCTATGTGTGTCGGCCATATAGAAGCGATATCCAGCGCTTAAGAGCAATATTCACATGGGTTAGCGAAAAGATCACATGGGAAGAGGGCTTCGATAACGATACTGCTGATTCAAGAAGGGTGATTCAGACCAAACATGGTTCTTCGGAAGAAGTCGCATTTCTAGTTATGGATATGTGTAAAGCTATTGGGATACATGCAGAGGTTATCAGAGGATATCTCAAATCGCCTGGTGAAGTACCAGATATGGGCCCAATGCCTCGACCTAATCATTTCTGGAACGCAGTCGTAATTGATGGAGAATGGCGAATAATGGATTGCTCTTTAGCAAGTCCTTCTCATCCTCGACGAAGCCAATATACCAGTGCCAGTAGCCAATATGCGGAACCCTGGTGGTTTCTGACTCGGCCAATCGAAATCTGCTGGACTCACATACCTGAGCAGCATGTTGACCAACATCTCTGTCCTCCCATGGCACATGAAATTCTGCTAGCTCTACCATGTGCTTGCCCCGCATTTTTCACCAATGAGATGGAAATGGTGGATTATGATACAAGTCTCATACGTATTGAGGATCTAGAGCTTGTTCACATCAAAATTTCTGTACCGCCTGATGTTGAGTGTGTGGCGGAGGTTGAAGCACGTGCCTTTGAGCGGGATGCTGATGGTGATCTATTCGAGACTGGCGAGATTATTACGAAGCCTGCTTTGGCACAAGCCGAATGGGTAGGCAGTCAAAAGAGATATACGATCAAGGGTCTACTGCCTGGTGATGAAGGGTCAGGTATTCTTAAAATTTATGCTGGGAAACGTGGTCTCATGCATAGTATCAAGGATATCCCACATCCGTTAGCGGTCGCATTGCCTATTATTCACTCTGGTGACAATCCTCCATACGAGTTTCTGATCCGACATCCAACACCTCATGCACAACGTCATGACCTTTATGTCGCTCAGCCACAATGCCAGCGGTTAGCCATCAATAATACCTTCGTATTCGCTGTGCGTCAGCATCCTTCCTCGCTATCCACGGGATCTCCAGATCCTGGGAGATCCTCGCCTATTCCATTTATACGACCAAACTCGGCCATGTCTATAACAAGTTCCTCGGCTTCTGGTTCAGGAACCGGTAAAAAGCCAGCCAAATTGGCAATTCAAGCGCCAGGTGGAAAAATCTTGAGATTAATGCGAAAGGAAGAGAGGAATGGGGGTGTCAATTTAGAGGGTGGAGATGGGGGAACTTGGGAGACGATAATTAAATGTGGGGAAAGGGGTGTATGGAGAGGACTAGTTTTAGCCGATCGAAGTGCTAGATGGTGCGTTTTTGCTGAATGGACTTGCGTCTAATACTACCTATATACTCTCAATTTCGAGATGAAACGAAAGCGACGATCAATTAAAAGATTGGGAAGGACGAAAAACGGGAATCGACATGAGACGAAATGTATGCATTTTATGGCGCCTTGCGGTTGTAATGGACGAATTTTTTATAACGAATAATTTGGGTTGGATTTTCGGCGGTAATAAATGGTAGGCTTAGGCTGGATGGAATGGTCGGATGGTCGGTAGGTCGGTAGGTCGGGTTTCTCGGTCGGAATTATTGTATAAAAGAATCGCATTTCAAGAGGCGTTTTTGCACATTGGGAGCATGTAGAAGTAATTTGGGGGATTAGTCGTCGCCAAATATGTTTATGCATCTTGTATCACAGGTGCTTGTAGTTCTAGTAGTGCATGCGTTCTAAAATTTAAAAATATATCATATATTGGAGTGTGTGAGTGGCTATTGTGAGTATATGGAACGCCTTTCCAAAGTCCTATGCATATCTCTTACGAGCACTGAAATTCACGTGAACGCCAGGTTCCCCAGTTGACTGCTGAATGTTTAACGTGACGGCTCTACTCAGAGATTGTAGAAACGTCAAAGGCAAATAGAACGTCTTGTACGAGGTATTTGTACCATTGAGCTCATTGATCTTGTTCACTACCACAAGCCGATTTGCGGTAAAATTTTATGTTAGAAGATCAACCTAGTTACACATCCATTTCTTCTGGATTTCCTCAATATTGCAACTGGGGCCGCCCTGATCCAGGCCCTTTCATTCAAGTTCCCATACCAAGACCAGATGAATCGATAATCATACACGCCTTCTTTCCCATTCCTCCACCTCTGAATTTTCATTCTCATCTCTCATCTATTTCTTCTTCCTACTCGACAAGCCCCTCTTCTCCGCATTCTTCGCCTTCCTCGCATTTGCCTTCCTCCACGCCGTCCATCGATCTCCCGGTTTATACAACCTCACCTTAACCTTTGCTCTCTCCGCCGCTCTTCCAATCTCCCAATTCGCCTCGCGATACATATATCCCGGTCGCAACTGGAGATTTCTGCCCTCCTCTCCCTTCCTCTCCTTCTTCTTCTTCTCCTTCTTCCCCTGCTGCTCTGCCCCCTCCACACTAACCTCCACCGCCACCGGCTGCTCCACCTCCGGCTCCTCGATCTTCGCAACCTCCATCCCTAATCTGCGTCTGCGGATGGTATTCCGCGGTAAGGGGAGAACCTGCTCGCGCTTGAATACCACGCCGATGTATTGGCGTTTGGGATGGCGCTCGGGATCTTTATAGTATTTCACATAACCGGGCTGGGTGGCATAAATGGTATGATCGCGACCCATAGCGCAGTTGTCGCCGGGGAACCAGTGGGTGCCGCGTTGGCGGAATATGATGTTGCCGGGGATTACGTATTGTTCTGAGGTGTGTTAGGACGGAGTGGGAGGATGGGGTTGGACATGACATGAGGGGAAATACATACCACCGGATTTCTTCGCACCCAATCTCTTCCCCGGTCCATCTTTCGCTTTATTGACAGCTCCTTGCGCCGCGTGCGAAGCATGACGAACGCCAATCAGAGGGGCAAGTGGAGAAGAAGATTTCTTGAACGAGAGATGCGTGAGCGCTTCGCAAAGATGCGTTTCCGCAGCCGATGCTGACGCGGTCCGCGAGAAGGACGTTATAGCGCCTCGCAATGGAGGCTGTAGGCGTTGAAGCAACATCTTGGGATGTGTGGGTTGGGAGGTGAGGAGTGCGGATATTTTTGATGTTTGGTGATCCGATGCTTTTTTTACGGGGACCGAGATGTGTGGGGGGCGCGGTGGTCGGATTGGGGGATTGGGGAGGAGGGAGAGTTGGTGTATTTTGTAGAGAATCTCAAGATTATTTAATGCAAGTAGAGTCGAAAATTTATATCTCTCATCTCATGTACTTTATTGCGTTAAAATTCCAAAAATATTTAAATCCTCCACCAAACCCCCAATTTTGTCATTTCGCCATCTTACAGTCCCCCGTAAACATTTCTACCACCTGTCAATATCAAGCTATCACTATCTGCTATCTAACACCACCACCCATCACCACCCATCACTAGATTTCCATATTCCCCTTCCAACATCACACTCCCATAACCAGATCCATTCCACCACAAGCAAAAATGGCCAAACCACTATTTTCTCTCTTCTCATTCCTATTCCTAATAATCGGCGTATCCGCACAATTTCAATTCTTCGAGCAAATGTTCAACGGTCAACAACAGCAGCAGCAACGTCAACCACAAGATGTGCCCAGTGATTCGCAATGGTATCAGGATAATTATGATCGAGGTAATAATGTTCTCCCATATATCTTCCCAGTTTCTCTCCTCCCTCTACCCCTATCTCTCCATTCCCTAAAACTAACATCCCCCTCCCCCTAGCCCACTGTACATCCTACCTCTGCCCCGGCACCCTCTCCTGCGTCGCCTTCCCACACCACTGTCCCTGCGCGCACCCAACCTACGAGGAGAAATTCGAGCTCGCAGACGGAAACGCTATTTGCATATCGAAAGGAGGATTTAAGGCTGGGGAGGCAGCGAGGAAGGTGGAATTGGCTAGGAAGGGGTTGATTTGATTTCATATGTTTTGATTGGGATTGATTCGAGTTGGGGGGGGAAAGGAGGAGTAGTTGATTTTTTCTTTTTACTTTTGAGTTTTTTGCATGGGGTTGATTGCGTGTGGGATGGGAGATGCGGAGGAGAGGAACGAGAGGGCAGGGGGGATGGGATATCGAAGATTGGCAAGCAAGCAATGGAGTTCTTTTGGGGGATTATTGGGACTGTGCAAGTGTCTGGAATGGAGGGTGTGAAACGGATGAAAAAAGATTATGAAGATAGTTGTGGGAATGAGAATAAGATGTGGATTCACGTGTACAACATTGTACTGCATTCATAGGAAAGGCCGCGGGTTTTAGGAGGATTTCCAACCTACCATCTACAGAGGGGGAGTTTACTACCCATATTTCATGCACTCCAGCGCTTGTTTATATGATAGTCAAGTATTAACGTCACACGGGATAATCGGTTATCACAGGCATAGTATGATATTTATCTAGCCCATCTCGCATAGAAAGCAGGTCCTGCAAGATATATTACAATAACAAAATATTGCAGTCGCTGACAAAAATCTCCCTTAGCTTCTGCGACTCCCAATTTTACCATCCACTGCGCCGCTCCATATCCTCCAACCATCCGAAACCCCGGGTACTTATAAAACACCGCCCAAACTAGACCAGACCCAATCCATGCTCGATTGTACTTGTGAAAATCAAGGGTAAATCATTGACGCCAAACTCCATCTATTCAGATCCATCCTTTCCAATTGTTCGTACCATTTCATCCATCATTCTCATCCGTCCACGCTAATCAGTTTCAATATGATGTACTCTGCTTTCACAATACTGTAGTAAAACGTCGGATTTGGAGAGCCACTATTTAAAGTCATAAAATATAAATATAAAAGGTCGTTCGTTATGCGAATCGTTAAAAATACTATAAATTAGTGATCATATCATGTTGTTGCTGTCGTTTCGGGCACAGTGGGTGCTTGTGCTCGTGTTCTTATTCGGAGAGTGGTTCGGAGTCGACCTGCAAGGCTAGCTCTTCTGCCTTGTTCTTCGAGTCCGTCTTGATTTGGTGCAGCCACTTCTTGTTGGGATTGCTCACGTGCAAATTCGCGAAGGGTAGCAATACTCTCCTCGGGAGGAGCATTGCGAAGATGCATAAGACGAGAAACGCGACTACGAGAGCTGGTCTCTCCGTTTTCAGAAGTACCAGCTGTGTGTTGACTAGCTGCTTCTCCTTCACCCGCATCAAGTGGAGGAGGAAGTTCATCATCTGCAGATTGGGCATGGGTTGCTGTAGGTCGGAGGTCATGGCGACTGTGAAAGTTAGTACATGTTTATACATTATAAAATAAACGAGCCTACCATAATGGACAAGTTCCTGAGACATTCAATAGCCAAGGGTCTATGCAAGCAGGATGATATTTGTGATGACATGGAAGCACTCGAACGTCTTCACCGGTAGCGAAATCTTCTGTACAAATCGAACATTGTAAAAGCTCGGTCTCCTTCGTGGCCGCCGATGCTTCGTTATCCCCTGACTCAGGATGTGCACCCAAACCCTTCTCGGAAGTTGCTGCCGCGGTAACCGGAAATTTTGATGTGTCACTGGCCGTGGCATCTGTTGTAGAAGTAACAGGAACATGGTGAACACTGCCATTCTCCAATTCAATATCAGTACTCCCTGGTTTCCCCGGTTCTGGATCCCCGAATTTCACAATGGGTAGAGTTTCCAACATAGCTCGCGCAAGACCCTTTGCTCGACTTTGCCTTGGTCTTCCTGGAGCGTTCCGTGGCCCATATCTTTCCGGATGCCTGTGAGCGCGAATGGCTCCCGTGGCTATAATTATCAAGAATAGCAAAGTGATAATTCCAGTGATACTGTATAGAATGCTCATGGCAACAGCTGTAGTTGGTGGCGGTCCTCCGTTGTTACTAGTTTGCGATGCCGAACCTATATCTGACGAGCTTTGGTTGGGTACGAATCTTGCGACCAATGAGCCGTTGGTATAATTGTTCAAAGTAACAAATAAAGCCATTGAATCGGAGGCAGACACCATGGTATAAATTGTTTTATAAGTAGAATCGCCAGTAATGCTACACTCCTGTGAGTATAAGCTATACAATAATATGGCCTTTGGCCGCGCATTTCCTGCCATGATAATAGCTTGTGTTGAATCAATGTTGGAGCTTTCGTTTGGATCACAATTCATGTATGCTATATCGGTGATGGATAGATTACTCGCATTTGACGCATCTATGGGGACAATAGGTCCGTTGATGTTAATTTGCTATACCATACAATATTAGTGGTCTGCTTCATGTTATACATATACAATGCAATTAGGAACACATTTCTTACATTTACAGCAGTCTCAGTTTGTCCTATTCCCGCCTCAGCAGTGAGCGGGGCAATGTTGTACATATTCCTGACCAAGAGATCGCTATTCCCAGACGTCAAAGACAATTCAAAATCCGGGTTCGTCATGCTAGATGGCAAAGTATCATTCGAGGGCGAGAAGGAAGCCGTGGAAGTTTGACCAGCAACCAACCCGACGAAGAGCAGGAGGATCGAAAGGCATTTCGCCGTATTCCCTCCCTTATCCGGTAGAAGCATGATTGAGATGATGCAGTTGAGGAAGGGAAGAGTGAATAGAGAACAAGAGAAAAATCCACGGAAAGTCGTAAACAAATAGCACTCTCTCAATCGAATATCACATATCCATTAATTTAAGAGGAGCAAATACTTTGTAGTTTTATCGAGGGTTCATTCCCACTACTACAAAAGATGAAGTGAAACTCTCTTCTTGGCTTGGAGCTGTTTTGGAGAGGGAGATGGTCAAACTCAAATTGGATTAGCGTGGATGGGATGTCGGCAGAATGGATCTCCGTGCGTTGAAACTGTAGGATGTACTAGGTAGGAGGGAGTGGTGGAGGTATGTAGTGTAGTTCGGATGTTGTTGGAACGATCATCGATCACTCTGCGGCGGCTTTGATTGATGTACGAAGTATGATGTGGAAGGATGATTCTGTTCCTTTGTCACAAACCCTTTGGTGACGACGGGATTGAGGGAAGAGTGGGAGATAAGGAGGAAAGAGGGAAGAAAAAGTATGATGATGTGGGGGATAACGATAAATTATACTTTGTGCTGTAAGGTTACGATAACAGGAGCAAGAAATGTCAAGTACGTAGGCGAGGTAGGTAGGTTTGAGGCCATATAAGGAAAACGGAAAACGGAACACGGAAAACGTCAAGAATGCGGAGAAGAAGCGTGGATAGAAGACTAATAAATACTAAATGCTAACGAACTCAAATAGATACCTAGGTAGTAGTTCTTGATGATTCCAAAGGGTCTACTTGATGATTACGGTACAGTACAGCCCAGCCCACCACGATGCATGCTACGATACATGACAACATCTTACAGCGACCAATGATAATGGGAATCGTCTTGACAATTGCCACGGATGAAGACTGCCGGTGCGATGATTGCCTTTCTCCGTCGTAGCCATTCATATCAAGGTTTATCAAGATTTCAAAGAATCTGGAGAGATTGTGGGTAGATGTGGGTAGTCAGTCGTACAAAGAAAAAAATAATAATAATTAACACAAATACAAACACAAATCACAAATCATTCTTCCGCGCCCCCCCGCAGCCTCAATCCATCCTCATTACATAATCTTTGATGTCGTATCTCGTATTGTTATTGATGTTAATGGTGGACTGTACTGTACTGTCCATCTACGCTCGCTACGGTATCTGTCAAATTCCGTCTACTCTGTATATGTGAGAATACTCCTCAGTAGGTACTAGGGACTCCCTAGATAGGTAGATACCTTCCTTCCTCTTTAGAAATAAACATCATCACATTATCACATCATCATAGACATAGCCATGCTCCATACTCCTTACAGCTTGCTTTCTTTCCCTTCCTTTCAATTCCTTTCAATCATAATCAACTAGGTCGGTTATTACGATGAAACTCATATTCTCCTTTTTATACATTCGTATTTTCACTCCAAACACAAAACATTATGCATTAATTGAATAATGATAAACATTAATCATTTCTTTCTCAACCATTATTCAAGAAAAGCCCAGCTAAAGCCAAGCTTCTCAAGAAATTTAAGTCGTGTCGTTTAATTGCTGTATCCAATGATGTCGCTAATTGCCACTCTCTCCTTTGTCTTGGAGGTCTTGGGAAAATCATTAATTATCAATAGTTCTTCTTCATTTCTCCCCTCAGGGCCCAATTCTAGAACACAGCCGTGTCCTACGAACCTTCTTTTTATCTGAATTTCGCTCAGCCCCCTCTTCGCCGTCTAATCGTACGTCAGTCAGTCACACTTCAAAAAGAATAACCTCAAGTAGTACTTATGGCACATCAGTTCTCGCCTCATCCAGATCTCTCTTTCTCTCTTATTCGGCTTCCTCGGAAGAACACCTCTTTCTCAGCTCTTGTCGGCTATCAAATCACATGAAAGCTTGGTGGAGACTTGGTAAATCAAAGCTCATGGCTTGGCTTACTTGGTCTACTCGAATTTGTTTTCAGCCTCGTCGTTGCCAACAGGCTTGGTGTTTTGGCTTTTTTCTCACTTACGTTTCTCCAATTCCTTGTCTAATTTTTCGCTCGTCGCCTCCCAAACCTTCTAGAGCTCGGCGTTCTGGCCTTGATTGACACATTACGTGCCGCATTGCAGCGGCACGAGCCTTCCAATAAAAGTCGGTCTGGGGTAGCGCAAACTCTATCTCCGCGAATCGAGGGGAGCGAGGTCACGTGTTGCAAACATCTTGCCATATCTTGAAGTTTCGAGATTGTTCCAGTAGTGAGGTTGTCTTGCTGTCAATAACTAGCTACACGTACACGTTTCTGTCTATTTTTGATTCGCATATCGCTGCTCAGATCTTTTCCGGTCATGCCTCATTCGCATAAGGTTGATGTTCCTAGTGAGAGGTACGCATAGCATGAGACTCCAAGAAACATCAAATGTCGGTATGTCGATATCAATCGGGTTTGTTTCGAAAGCGCGCTTTCCTAACACTGCCATGACTCTCGAGTAGATTTATCGGAAGAATACTCTTGCATGATGGATAAAGATGGAGTCGGATGGGTCGTCGTCGCGCATTCGCTTCCGATCGTCAAAACATTCGAAAATATCTCGATAATCACCCAGATCAAACCCTACCAAACCCACCATACTAGCCAGAGTTCGAAAACGGAAGAGACCTCAAACTTCAAACCCTCAAGAAATATATCAGCAAAAATACAGACGTAAGTGTTTGGGAAAATGATCGTGTTTCGCGACGTCATCATTCGCTATACTTGCCTATTTTTGACGTTACCCACTTCTAACCTCACCGACGACAATGCAAAAAAAATAAGCATGTTAGAAGGTCTGAACATCTCAAGGCAGACATTGAATTGAGACCTTGAGATTGTGTTCTTACTTCTTTTTTATTCTGTTTTTGGATATATCCACCACCTATCCATCCATCACCTCCCAACTCTCCGTCAACCATCCACCAATCATCTAATTCTAAGCTATCTATTATTTTGTTTTTATTGCCTTGTTTTTGGCTACATTCACACATGCATGTCTCACATTGTGGCAGCATACCGAGGGGTATTATCTTCGAGTGCCACGGCTCAGGACGGGCTTCTGAGGGAAGAAGTCGAATTGCACTCCTTAACCACTCTACCAACTGCCCCAAGTTGTTCTCGTTTGTATTGACGGTTATATAGTATGCCCGTCCTTGCGGGTTGTGACCGCGCCCGCCCGGTTTCTGCCGAGATGGATAAGATCGTGAGATTCACTCAAGGCTGCCCCATTTGATATCAGCAGACTTCCTATCAAAGTGAGAAAAGTGACCACCATTCTCCATTCATTGACCATTCTAATCATCACAAAAATAACCTTATCAAATAATTACCTAGGTAGGTTCATTGAGATGGTGGTTATTCTATTATACAATCTTATCTTATATTAATTCAAATCCCGAAGGATTATCAGGATACAAATTCTCATGGGAACACAACTGTTTTCCTCAAATAGGGACCAAGTTGGCCGTTTAGAAGAGCCGATTGTTATACATTGATTCTCTTCAAATCAATTGAATAAAAGGCCAGGCAGGATACTATGTAAGTAAGCAACGGCAATGTGACATTTGGAAAGACCAATCTCAGCCACCTGTAAATGTTGTGTAGCATGAAAAAGTGTGACTCTGGCTGGTGGCTTTTCTCCACTTCTGACCTTCAACTTCTATCTTGTTTCAGCAATCATCATTTTGAGATAAAAGCGCGAGATGGCATCACCCGCAGATATTATCACCTACATTGGAATTCCGCTTGCTGTTCTCGGCATTTCACCTATACTTTACAACTTTATCATTGCATTTTTTGTCAAGCTGAGATTGAAGCGACAACTGAAAACAGTGGGCTTAGTTGATGATACGGTTATTCGAAGTCGATTCATTAATGGAGTTGTCGAGCTTGAACTTCCAATTTATGAGCTCAAATTCGAGGAGGGTTGCCCAAGTGTACGAGCTCGACTTAGGTGGAAAGATTTGGGAGATATCGGGATGCATCTTGGATTAATTTTGAATGTGGTGAACGAGGTAGACAGGAGCCATATTTTCAAAGACGCCTGGTAGGCCGGGTCACTAAGACGTTCCAGATATCTTCTAAACTATCGTTACCAGAAGTTTCAGTGTCATTTGAGCATCTGCTGGGATACTTACTCCAGAATGAATGGAGAAAAGGAGGAAACATTGACCTTGATGGCTTTGGGGCGTTGAAGACCCACAATCTCAATATTCCAGTGGGAACAGTGTTAGTAAGAATTGCAACATCTTTGGAGCAGTGTTTGTTCTTGAAAACAGCTGCGTCGAGTTTGGAGAACCGAGGTTTTCTTTGTGTAAAGTTGTGCTCAAACGTATCTTACCCATTCACCTCGGAACTGTCCAAAGACGAGGATTATTTCAGCAAGATAGAGAGAAAGAAGTGGGTTTCAAAGGCTGGTCTCATCACCGAGGATAAAATTTGGATTCTGGAAAAGACGAATCGATATTTAATCCGCGAGCCATCCCCTCCAGCATCTTCATCCGCAGTTCCTGACGGTGTTGACCAGGTTGCCAATACTGCAAAACAAGATGAAAACACCTTTGATTCCCAAGCTGTCGTTCCCAGAAGGGGAGTTTATGTTTGGGTCGATGTGATGGGAATTCGGCAAGCGTTTGCCATTAATGGCTTAGGTCCTAACAATGAGCCCATGCAACTAGAAGAAATTGACAAATCTCACCACATAATGGCACCAACTGCCGGTCTCGGAAAAACGATCAAACTTGAACAACGCATTTTGGATAACCTCTTCTTGACACATGCATTCGCTTCACTACTAGAGCTTAATGATCTCCATAAACTTCCACAGTTCGAGTACAGCCCTGACGTCCTTTCCACTGCAGTCTTCGCGTCTTTCACATTTGGGAATCTCCATGAATCGGTACAACTGGCCATGTGTAAACGCCAATCTTCTCCCGATTTCGCACTTGATCAAACCAACATTGCTAATTCCCTCGAAAAAATTCCCAATCAAGCGCGAGAGCGAGAGCGAGAGCGAGAATCTCTCACCAAGATCAATCTGCTAGCTAACACACATGGAAACACAATCGTTTCTTCCATCCCTAAAACATTGATGAAACGGCGTCGCAAGCGTCATTCTATCTACAAGAACTCCCCATCATTCAAAGTACACTTTCGAATCTCGCATTTGAGATTATTATACCTCGACCTTTTCCTCTGGCAGGAGATTTGCCACACTGCCGCTAGATCTCCAGGAAACAAAGCGTGGCCGCATTTTCTATCCCGCAGCACGGTTCCTCCCATGGAAGAAATTCTGTACTAGATCTTACTTGATCAAGACTTTGCCCCCGCGGTCGTCGAGCAGCTCAAGCTAGCTGATCGAGAGAGAATCGTGCACCCCGGCCGAACTGCGAAATCTGCCTGATACACATCCGGTTTTCTTCGTTTGTGCAATTTTTTTGATGGATGGGGTGGTGGGAATGGCGGAGAATTGCGTTGATAGATGATGTTCGGTGTTGGTTGCGTGAAGAGGTTTCCGAGGGTGGATTTGCGATTGGGGGTTACTTTTTCTTTACTTTTTATGAGGTTATTATATATATTTATATATTTATTTATTTATTTATCTATCTATCTATTTATCTATTTATCTATCTATCTATTTATTTATCTGTTTATTCATCTATTTATTTATCTATTTATTTATCTATTTATTTATTTATCTATTTATCTATCTATTTATTTATTTATTTATCTATCTATCTATTTATTTATTTATTTATTTATTTATCTATTTATCTATCTATTTATCTATCTATCTATCTATCTATCTATCTATTTATCTATCTATCCCTTACACATTTTCTCTATCTGTTTATTCATTTATTATAATTACCTACCCTCGCTTTCACTTCCACTTCGATTCCATTTTAAACTATAATCATCTCTCTTCTTTTTCCTATCTATATTCTAGAATATAGTCTATAATGTATATAATAAAACACACTATATAAACTACAGCATTCTTTCTTTTCATACAAAGATCCCATTCTCCAGATAAAGTTGAGCGATCGAATTGTGGTTCCGGGCGGCAGATGGCGGGAACCCTTTCGTTCAAGTGGTAGAGGTGGTGAGATATTCTGATATTACAAGTATACAGGATATCGCATTGTAAGACTACCTATGGTATAGTATTATTTTCGTAGGGTGGTAGCATCATTTCTACCTAGAGCAATGGAAGTACACACTTTAGGCTATATCATGAATTCAATGGCAAATTACTCTCATATGTAACCCCCAAAAGTGATTTAATTATTCTCATGCCCTAAAATCCAGAGGCGATTTACTCTCTTCTTATAGAATCTATCCCCCCTTCATAAATCTACCCTCTCTCTATTATAGAATCTAGTCTAAAACCGCTGAATCTAGCCTAAAAAGGATAGATTCTATTATAGAATCTATCATAGAATCTAAGGGGCATTAGAGTAAATTGTCTACCAATTTTAGAGCATGAGAGTATTTGAATCGCTTTTGGGGGGCATAAGAGTAATGTGCCGTAAATTTAAATATAATCTTTGAGACGGGGTTTCAAATTCAACGATACGATCGCAGATGTTTCTAAATCAAGCTTTCCCATTCAAAGCACTTTTTTCATGGAAAACATCAGACTCAATCTCCTCACTATACTTCAAGTCTCCCTGTCTTCGCACCTCATCCATAACCCGCATGATCGCCTCACTCTCCCTCCAATCCAACCCCTCACTCTCCTTCTTCCCATCCCTCAAACACCTACCCACCTCATCCGCCTCCCACGCCATCCCATGTCCCCAATTCCCCCTCTCCGGATCCTGCGGAATCTCACATTCCACCGTCTTGAGATCTCCCGCCCCGTTCGCATTCTTCAAAACCTTGTACTTCAACGGTCTATACGCAGGACCAAAAACTTGGATTTCTCCCTTGGTGCCTTGGATTCTAATCGTCGGAGCTTCATCTCTACTCGCCTCCCCATGCGCATCTGGTTGCGTCGCCACTCTCATCCCCGTCGTCGCGATCCCCACACTTTTATTCTTGGAAAACTGTAAAATGATACTGGTCTGTTCATCCACACCCGTCTTGTCGTATTTCTGCACAGCGGCAAGAACGGACGGTACTTCGCGCTCGATAGAGGGACAGGATTGACAATGGTACAGAATTTGGAAAACCCATGTGATAGCATAGATACCCAAGTCAAGAAGTGCACCACCCGCCAAATCAGGATTCACCATACGGTTTTCGAGAGGAAAAGTCAGAGTGCCATCTTCATTTGCCTCTGCAATCGAGAGATCTGCAAACACGCGATGCACCTCTCCAATCTCTTTATTTCGCACCAACTCCCGGATTTGGATACTCAGCGGGAAGTAGCGGGTCCAGACCGCTTCCATGAAAAACAGATTGCGCTCTTTGGCTGTCTCGAACAGTTTGCGCGCTTGCGAGGAATTGACCGTGAGAGCTTTTTCGCACAGCACGTGTTTGTTTGCGTGCAGGGCTAACATGGCGTTTTGGAAATGGTGGGAATGCGGGGTGGCGATGTAGATGACGTCGATGTTGGGATCGGCAACGAGTTCATGATAGGAACCGTAGGCTTTGATACCTGGGGGCGCCTTGATCTCTTTCAGAAATGTTTCGGCGCGGGAAGCGGAGGAGGAGGAGGCGGCGGCGATGATGCGGTGCTTGACGTCGTGGACGTCGCGCGTGGCGGGGTTGCATAGGATGTCTTTGCAGAAGGCTGGGGGTGGTTAGTTTGAGGTTGTTTGGGGATTGGGGGCGGCGGGCGAGGGGGGGGAGGTACTGGTTGCGATGCCGCCGGTGGCTAAGATGCCCCATTTTACTTCGTATGGTTTGGATGTCATGATGTTGGTTGTATGGATTATGTTCACGTGCAAACGATGAAGAGGACAGGTGTATAAACAAGTATGGAATCGTAAGAATTTAACTGAAATCTGGTGTCGCGGAGCTTAAGAAGTAAATAATGGGTAATGACGTACAAGGCAATTCTGGCACAATGCGGGTGTTCATAAATATTTATTAAGGTTACCCCGCCATCTTATCTGATATCTTATGTCAACGTTACACCACATCCGCCACCACGCTGTGTGCAATATCGTCGGAGCTACTACATCAAGAAGTCCGACGGGACAATACAAACACATCCGGATTTCAAACGATTGGTGTGCACATGCCCAATTTAACCATTCAAGACAGGTATCACAATCCCAGTATCGCCTCTCCATTTCAACTCACGGTTGATACCCTACAGCTCTAAGAACCTAGGTACCAAATACCAATGTTTACCAATCCTCGTATTTCTCGACTCTTGATTCTCCAAGCTGTTCTTCCATGATATAGAACCAGAGGTCTCTTCCTTAAAATATCTCATCTTCCTACGCAGAAGCGTGAGTATGGTAAGGCAAATCAGCTGATAGTGGATAGGGAAACGCGAAGAGGCCGACAAGAAACACATTCGCTAGTGCGGATTGGAAAGGGGCCATGGGGAGAACTTGAATGAAGGAAAGGAATATCATATAAGCGGAGAAGATATTGATACTTCACGAGATTGGAAGAAAGATGAAATGTTCCAATTGGTACAAGAGGAAAAAGAATCGTCACAAGAGGAAAAAAAGAATCTACATCCTACCAAGAGGATACGGAATTCGCAAACGAATATCCATTTGAGGAAGTAAAAACCAATAGATCATCTGTAAACACACAGGCCAATGGGTCACCTGTCCTCGAAACTGACGTTGTCATTCGCCGCTACGAAATGTTCGGAGAAAGTCCTCAAATTCGCAAAGCTGGCTTAGTACGACGAGCCGGCCGAATAGAAGCGGAATCTAGAATTAATCGGTATTAGATGAGTTGGGTAGAACAAGAAGCTGGTTCAGTGAGGATACTAGAAGAGATTAAGAAGTAGGAAAGAGAGAACGATAGTTTGATGATGGAGAGAATATATGAAGCGTGGAACGCGTGAGGTAGAGGGGTTAATCAAAAAGGGGTTAGAGATGGGTGGATGGTAGTCTCGAAAATGGAATTAGATGGGGATGGAGAAATGGGGAAGAGGGGTGGGGAAGAGAGAGCAGAAGAAGTACTGGGAGAGGGGTAACATGATGACTTTTATGTGAATCTTCTCATTTCTTATTTCAACTCGGAGATTTTATCGGGATTATCTAAAATTGTTTTCAAATTTTATATGTAAATATTTCCCTATAGATAACCAATTACAATAGAGAAATCAAACTCCTAATAGATAATCAGAAAGGACGCAGAAAGGACGCAGAAAGACCGAGAATTTCGAAAGAAATGCGAGAAAGACGCTGAAAAGCAAATCACAAAGACAACGAATTCAAAAATACCTACCTACGGAAAAAATTCACATTAACCAATCTATCTCAATCTCCATTATCCAGCCGTATCCTCGATGTCACTGAGACCCTACCAATACATGAACTCTCAAACGCTGCTCTTACGAATCATAATAAGATTCGATTGTTCTATACATAATACAATATAATACAATACGATGAATTCACTCTCAAGATACCGCTTAGGTAGGATTAGGACTCGAAGTAGATGGTCACCCAATAGGAGAAACATTTCCAATACTGTTAGGCGGAGAATTGATAGGTGAGATGGAGATGTATATACATGTATGGTGTAGTATGTTACTATTGGGAACATATGGCAGGTATGTAAATATGATACAAATACTTATAAATATCTGATCACGCATTAAGAAGCTAGAAATAGTAGCGAGGGGTTGGAAGTGCAATGAGTAATGTGTGTGAGAATGCAACGAAAGAACGTGAGTGTAGAGGTGGAGCTATCATGGATATACCATAATAGTAGACTAGGCTAGCGAAGGAGATGATGAGATGGGTACCTAGGTAGTTATATATACACACATATATGTATTTATATATTTATAATTAAAATTCCAAAATCGACATGAATCCCATCCCACAAGTTAATTAATCAATACGCAAGAGAATGCATGAAAACAGTGAGTGTGTAGACAAAGAAAATTGGGAGATTAATATAAATACTCAATAAAAAACACTTCTGCTTTGAAAAAGATGGGAGATAGATGTGGTTTAAGTTTGCGAGAAAATCATCGTGCTGGGGATATTGCAAAGAGGGTTTAGATACCGGAAGAGTTGTATGGGAATTTCCGGTATCAAACAAGCTGCAAGTTACTTTATATGGTTAGATAACAAGAACGTATACTTAGCTGTTACATTCGTGTTCTACAATAGGTTCTTTGATGTTGGGGAAGGGAGGAGTGTTCGTCTTTTTCCTGGAGTGGATTGGGGAATATAGGGGGAGGATGAAAAGCATAAAAGAAGAAAAAGAGTTTTCGACAAGGCAGGGTTTCAAATAACGTGCGATGTACACCTTAATCAATAGAAAGATAAATTTCATACCCAAGTGAGAGAATACAAATTTAAATTTTATGCGAATATACGCCGCCTCGCGTTCAAAGGTATCTAAAAGGGATGATTCCACGGAAAGATCAATCCCAATGCAAATGAGTTGCATGCTTTCTCACATTTCCTCCATGTCCTCGAAATCGTCCATTACTGGAAAGTCTCCCACTGTCACTCTCTCAGGTCTAACAAAGACGCCGAATTTTCCATCACCATCTTTACCCCAATATCTCTTTCCAGCTATACTGCCATCATTCTTTCCGACAGGTTCATCAAGTTTAACTCCGATCCACTTTCCTGCCCCGCCAGGGATTTCTGCAACGTCACCCACATACATCACTACACCTCTTCTGGAATCATCTTCTCCAACTCTACATCTCTTGCCTACAGAGATACCTTTGGCTTTGATCTCATTATCGTAGACAGCAAGTTTTGCATCAAGGAGAGTTGGAGCATCAGGGTTGAATCGTCCGAGCTTTTCATTCTTTTTCCACGCAAGAACACTGTCGGTGCGTTTCTCGTAGGATTCTACGGGAAGAGTGTATTTCTCGACTGCAGAGACATCGGTATAATTTTCACGGAGACCAGGGGCGCGAGTATCAGTTACCTGGGAAGATTTGTGTTAGCATGTTGATAAATAGCCAAGCCTAATTGGCGGAAGTATCGCTACATAAATTTGTTGGGAGAACCCGGTGGGAAAGACATAAAATGATACGTGTCCTCCAAAGATGATTGCCAAACTTAACAATGGAGAACAGTAGGTTTGTGCTTGCAAGTATCAGGTGCCTACTAAGTTTTGGAATACAGCACACCGTGACTCAGAGTGAGACTAACGATAATGCAATAATATATCCACTTGATGGAGCTCAGACTGCGGCAAATAGTTCATGGACAACGAACAAAACTTGTCGTGTCCGTGACAAAACACTCCACTCTAAGCAATTTGGAACACTTGGCCTAGCTGTAGGGCAGGAAACTAATCCACACAAAGCAACATCAGCGAGTTGAGTAGACTATAATTTAAGATTTATCATCTCAATGGCCCAAGTATCATGGAATGAACTATTGGGGCAACCCGGCAAACATCGGCATGAACTATCATATGATGCTGAAATGAAAACCTTGTCTAGTATGGATACGATACCGAAGATCAAGTCTCATGTCGAGGAGAAAATAACATCCGTGGGATCGAGGTGGACAGACAGCCTTGCAGAACGATAAGGTCTTAGAGTACCACGACATGTTTCGCGTTACGAAGCTAAAGAAATTTCCGAACTCACGTGAATAACGGCGTGTGGTGCCAGAGGAAAGTTTGACAGTTGTGTATTCTCTTCATCCAGAGCTTGGATGTCGACAGATTGTTGATTGTTGATCCACAGAGTGAGTTTTTGATCTGAGGAAGGGATACCGGTCACGGGTACAAGTTTTGATTTTAGTTGACCAATGGACCAAGATGGAGTAATACGACGCTCTGATCCAGAGTTCTCTGACTTGACAATCATGGGGATATCCCCTGCTGTTTGCATACCACTCATGGTTGTTGAAGTTGGAAGGAATGTAGGGCGTAACGGATGAGGCTTTGATGATTGAAATTTTCCGATATAAGGCGACCAGGTACCAAGTTCCGGTTACACAATCAATAAATCTGCGAGAAAGCTCAAGGTTGATGTTAATTGCGAGTGGGATGATGATCCAATAGGATTTCCTTATCGATAGAGGGTTGGAAGGTATGGATGTGTATTTGAAATGTTCCACACGATAGTATGGAATAGTATGGACGTTTTGGGTTTTTCTTTGCCTTTTCTATGCCTTATGATGCTTGAAATAGAAATCTATCCCGGTTGACGGATCTCTGCAGCTTGCCAGGCGTAAGATGACCAGGTTGTTGTGACCAGGTTCCGTTTTGAACTTTGAAGGCGGGAGGGACAACTGCCGTTTGTTCTCGTATACAATAAGAAATGATCCGACGACTCGACGAGAGAGATTCGATGGGGGGATTCGAATTTCAATGCAGAGCCCGATGGGGAATCTGAAAGTTGGATTATGGAGACAGATGAGGTGTCACCGCACTTTTCTTGGTAGAAGTAGGATGATTATGGGTCACAAAGGAGCGAGTGAAGCGTTCATCCATGATACATCAAGTTGTTGTTGTCGACCCATAGAAAAACTGGTCTGGTTGACGCACGTGACACAGCTCCAAAAATCCATCCAGAATAGGGAATAATAATAATATTAACAAGGTGTGCAGTGCAAGTGTTCCAAGGTTCCAGATAACAATCCATCAGCCACAGTTCTTTCTTCGATGCCCCATATTGGAAGTTGCAATGGAACCTTGAAGCTGGAGTGACAAGTTACAATTTCAAATCCATATTGGGACGCTGGCATGCTGGGTGGTGGTACAGAGCACCAGTATATGTAACATGAACAAGAAATGAGGAAGGAACGTTCAACGCACATTGCCGGAAGGTATTGTCAACGTCCATCCGGGATAGAGCAGAGAGCAGCAGAGAGCAGAGAGCAGACCAATGAGACCAATGAGACCATACAATGGCACACTGGATGCATACACCAACTGTAACCACCACACAAGACAGGCGCGAGGGAAGCATCTGTTCGTTCTGTTCTGTTCATCGATAGCAAGTACTGGTCTGGTGTACCTGGTGTTTTTCACGCAGAGACAAATCAAATACCATGTCTATCGATCTATTTCCATCACACGCATATCACATTCGGTCAATCAAAATTAATGCGATGTGATTGAAAAATTTGTTCTTTTTCTTCTTCCTCTGATTTCTTCATTTACCATCATCATCCCTTGAGAAGGAGAGAAATGTGATTAAAATTAGAACATGTTTATCACGACATCTCTATTTTGGAAGCTTCATCCATAATCCATTGCATCAACCGATACATCTTCCTTCCCTCCTTTCAACACAGAGTGAGCACTTTCTTCAAATCCCCCACCAATAGATTGAAAAAGTCAATGCTTTAGAAGTTTCAAAGGGACGTTAACCTTCAGTCGATCGCTGGCTTAACTTATTGCAGTATAGCAGGATGAAGTATCTGAGTCTCTGACCCATTTATGGACCGTGGATTATGGATTATGGATGGTCTTGTCGCAAGGCTCAAACATGATGAGATGTATGAAAAATAACAAAAAAAAAGAGGATCAGGAGGAGATCTCTAACAGTTCTTGTCCCAATTGGCTGGCTAACTTTCGTTTGCAGTCTGCTTGGTGGTTTGTTGGTTTGTTGACTTGCTGACTTGTTGACCTGTATCAATGTCTTCGACGCCATTGGACAAACCTCAAAAAAGATACGGGAACTCAGCATGAATAATTCTAAGCCCTACATTGAATTTGAATAAGAGGCGATCCTCGAACTCTTCTCGGCGCGATTATTCCTGTCAAAATGACTATAGTTAGTGCTATTGTTCTTCTCTGGGATTGCATAGCATACTACACCGCTCAAACAGACATGGGTTTGGACTTTTCTGAGACGAGTTCTTTTCCATAGCCCTGCCCTGTACAGGATACGCCACTCACCGAAGTGCCACGCGACTTGCATCTTTGCATCTTTTGAATACCTATCAAAGCAAGTTAAGCTACGCAGTAGGTACATACTTTTGACTTTGGTTTGGTGGTTCGCAAGATCTACCCCCACAATGATCGGACTACATTTGATTCGGGACGAGGGAGCGATAAACACGATAGCTGCATTACTAAGCTTCCCATCTTGGAAGTTCTACACCGACGGCTAGAGAACTCACGATGAGATCATGCTTTCATGGCATAACATCGGCAGCAAACCGAGCTACGCTTAAATCCACCTATACTTGTGCATGAGGCAATTAACATAACAGTCATGTCCTAATTTGACAGCCGCCTTACTCAGGCTTTGATGGCTGCAGAATACTCCTTTCCTACAACAATGACCATTGTAAATGGAAACAAACGGGCACAGCTACATGTCGACGGATATCTGCAGAATATGTATCCTACCTGAGACACCGCAATCAACAATGACAGCACAGCTATACTATTGTTGTCAAGTGTTGCTAGCATGCTAATGCACGCAATTGGGCGAGGGTGCTTGAGGCGCTATTTTCCAAGGCCGTGCGACAGGAATTATCTGGTACTCTCGTCTGATCTGACAAATTTCTATTTTTTGAGGCTAAGAAGATAGCTCACAAAGCGTGAACTGGGCATTCACCGCCCCCAATCCTCCCGGATGGGATTATCAGGGCTGAAGGCGAACTGCAGAAAGCTTTGAGTGCCCGCCGTGTATGCCATTTGAGAGTTAGTCATTTAAGCTTTGGGCTGTGTTCATGGATACCATGTTTCCGAAAGTTCTGAAAAAGGCTCTACTGACTCAAACCGTCTACACGATTATGGCGCCGTCTCACATGACAACATGAATTTACACCGCCAGATGTTGGTATCCGAAGGTGTGCTAGAGGGAAAGGACTGGTATGTAACTGTGCTCCTTGTGATGGCTACCGACAGAAACAAACGCAGAATAGAACAACGCAATACACTCCTCTTCATTAGGCATCAAGGGTTTGGACTTTGGATGAGGCATAGCCGACCTAAACGGTCGCGTAAGCTTTATTTTCAGCCACCAACGACCCAAATAAAGGGAAATTTATTCTATGTGGCTTGATAGATTTCTTCGGTCTTTTCGGCTTGCTTGCCCCACGGAAGATCGTGGTTCATCGAGGACTTAGAGGCGCTGCAAGCCATGAAGATCATACATTATAATCCTTGAAGCAAAGCTCACCACTACCCTTGCAAACCAGACCGCCAATTCCTTCTTTTCAGACGTCCATCTTGGATCTACAGTGGTTGGCCGATTGAGGCGACGACAAGCAACCCATATCAAATCATGAGCCTTTTCATTATTGTGGCATTCCAAACCTTCATCCCACTATTAAATTTGGTGAAGTGCAGATAATTACAATCAAAGTCAAGTTTGATCACGATTACGCACAGACATGTGTCTAAAACAGCTTTGAGGGGTTGAAGGAGTATAAATCAGTTTCAAGCGCCAGCTCCCAGGTTTCAACTGTTCTTCCATAACTTTAACAATGGAAGCACTAGAATGCAACATTTCTAAAAGCATTACTATGCTCATGTTCATGTTCATGCATGAATTCGTGGCCGGCCTTCCTCCACACTAGCATACCCTGGTTTGGACCCCCCCCACTAAGGACTCTATTTGCATCTCGCATGCTCCCGACCGACTGTCCAACATTCAACCTAGTTATTTCCTGTGGGGATCAGTTCGAACAATGCCCTTGTCTTTAACAAGCTCATTAACAAACTTGACGTATTCTTCCGTTGGCGTTGGCTTCTGCTCTTTTCCATTTTCCATCCAATCTACCGCGATTGGCTGCATCAATGATATATCTTTACCAATCAGGTTTATGGCCATCACATTATAGGCGAGCCACGCATTTCCCTCTACTATGAAGGCCTGAAATAGGATCGTGGTCCTCCCGTTAGAAATAGTCCAAATCGTCTCAAGATAGTTTTTCTCGAACAATCCAAGCTACCACGTCTTACAGAATAATCTAGTCTGTTTCACGCCACTACATACTCACATCTATCAAAGACTTGTATCTCCTTTAGCATTTTATCTTTCGACCGACATACTACTCTTTTTGATTGTACCGCGCCAATTCTCCATAGAATCCTCACATCACCAGTCTTTGTGTCCAATTTGATGATCTACAAATCGAAAATCAACACAGAAACAAACCGTGCACCTCTTTCTCGCAGATCATCCGTCGACCTTGACGGTATCAGGGACTTCACCATCACCGTGGATATCTCCCTCCTCCTCAAGGACCCGGACTCTAATGAGTCCCAGACCACATCACCACCCGACAGAAACCAAACAAGATCTACATCCGTTCAGTCATCAATCACACAACCCGAAATACCAAACTACGCTGCTGCCGTTTCTGCAGCCGGCGGAAAAAGAAGTATGGGTGCCCATCCATCAGAATCTCCTGCTAAGAAGCAAAGTAAATGGTCGGCCGACGAAGATGCTCTAATCATTGATCTAAGAGGCAGTGGGATGAAGTGGGAAGATATCTCTAAGAGGCTACCGGGTCGAAGTGCTATTAGTTGTCGGTTACATTATCAAAACTATCTGGAACGTAGGAGTGAATGGGACGAAGAACGAAAGAACAAACTCGCTAGACTCTATGAAAGGTATTAATCTTTCGAATATCAACCTCATAATAATGTTATTAACATGGCTATCTAGGTTCAAGCAAGAAATGTGGTCAAAAGTGGCTGAAGAAATGGCAGTTCCATGGCGAGCAGCAGAAGCCATGCACTGGCAACTCGGCGAAAACGATATGGCAAGACGTGCTGGTGTCGTTCCCTTCTCTCTCTCAAGCGTAACTCTCGATGCTCCATCTTCTGGTTCGAGAGCTTCGCCTGCGAGAGGTCATTCATATAGTCAATCCACATCTAGCACGATGAATTCAGCATCTGGAGGTTCTCGATACAGTAGACCTGGTACCGCACAAGGAAATCCAAACCCAAGAGGTGTAGGAGCCACTCGTACAATCGCCGCCAGGAGAGAAAGCACACCTAGATCGGTACCACCCACGAGCCCAACAGATGGCCTGGCCTTGGCGGCCATTGGAGGCGGTGGGGGCATGATGATGGGTCAGGGTAGAGGAGGATATCTACCTAGTTTGTCGGAAATGACCACAGGTATGAGTCCGTATAGTACGCCTGCTTATGCGATGTCGATGCCCGCGCATTCGAGTGGCTACTCGAGTGGATATCCGAGTCCTGGCCCTGGACCCCTCCTACCGGCTATTGGCATGTTGGGTCAGAGGAACGATGGGAAGAGAAGGGGGAGTCCGGAGGGTGGGGCACGGGATAGTATTAGGAGGAGACAATGAGGGTCGCCGTGATGCTTGATGAAAGCTTGTTATGTGCAATGATATGATGGATAGATGGATGGATGGAAACGTGTGTAAATGCGATTGGCGTTGAGGAAAAAGTTAATTTCTGTTTCTACACTTGTTTTCTTTTCTTCTAGGGTAAAGTAGGGTATGGACGGGATGGATGGGTAGAGTGAGCATATGGGGATGGACCTTGCATATTGGAATGGCGCGATGTTTTGAAAAAATATCCCTTGGCTTTGGATCAGGGCTTTATGAATTGGAATTTGCATTGAATGGGATTGAATGGGGTTGAGATGGGGTAGCGTAGCACGCATTGCTTGCAGGCACGCATGGTGTTCGAAACTATACCTTCTAGATTGTATTATGATTTTTTGTATCTTAACCCTTTTATATTCTTCTAATTGCTTTTATGATTTGTGTGTCTCCGCATATATGTGTTGATAAATCTTACAGGAATGTGTTTCTAGAGCGTCATTTCTGGATATAGCCTTCAGGTCCAGTGGGTAATAGTACAGTGTTCAAGTTCTCATGATGGATTAATACTAACAGGCTGAACTTTATTTCTCGGCTGCCGCCTCTTGGAAGAAGTGGGTATTGACCTCCAGGTCCCTTTTGTACTACACAGGCGCTTCCTCGACTCGGGTCCTGTCACCTTCTCCATGGCCAGAGCAACGTCGATCATGGTTTTTGCATGTATGTATGCAGTATGACGCGTCAGCGCACATTCGAGAGGAATCAGCATGACGCTTCAGGCAGATCCCGAGTTGCTGCTGATCTCCCGTGGTCATCCCGTGGGAGCAATATCATACTATGGGGTCAGATGCTCGGGGTAAAAGTGAGTCTCCTCGAGAGCAGATAGCCCACCAATTGTCCTTCTCATACCCACTTTCTAGTACCGTGCCGCCTACGCTCTTGATGTCCTCCTCTAGTTCGCCGGCCCGATACAGATGGTAGTAGCGTTGAAAGGTTTTTTCGGAAGCTGGTTGCGTGATACTTCCATCTGGCGCGACTTTTTTGCCGGTACGCATTACCCAAGGGACCATCACATCTTGAGGATTCGTTTCGTCCCAGCCCCGGCGAGAAGAAGATTGTTCGAGGGCCCAGACGTAGATCAGCGCTTTTCCTGAAGGGGAAAGAGTGGCGAGGATGGATTGCACGGCTTCTCGACGACGATCTGGAGTAGATAAATGATGAATGACTGCTATACTTATCGCGAAGTCAAAAGTACCTTCTGGATGAGGTAATGCTAGAGTATCGGCTACGATTGCCGAATGGGGTTGGTGGGAACTAGCTATTTTTGCGAGATTTGTAGAGCGATCGGAACCGACGATGAAGACGTTGGGGTTTACGAGGAGATATTTGCCGTTGCCGCATCCGACGTCGAGGCCTATTGATCCGGGTGCGAGACCTTGGAGAAAGGATTTTACAATAGGCCAGGCTTTGTAGCGGGTGGAGGAGAAGTGGGAGGCGATTTGTTCGTAGACCTCGTGGACGTTGGTTTCTTCGTAGGTTTCGGGGGCGGCGGGGGGTGTGGTTATGGGTGTGGATTCGGGTGCTGAGGCGGGTTTGGGTACCTTGGGGTGGGTTTCTTCTGGTTGTGGAGAAGTCATGATTTCGGGGGTGAGAAGGCTGGTCTCGTGACTAGAGTTGGATTGGAGGGTTGATATAGGGGGAGTAATTTGGTAGGTCCTTGTATTTATAGATTCGGTAGATGAGTGATAGTTTATGCCTTCCCCTGAATCTGCGTTTGTGTTATAGAATCCTTTGCAATGTTTCAATTTCTTAATTGTGCATACGGCCTTGGCAATAGGATGGGTAAAATAGATATCCCCTGTAGGCGAGAAAGGGATACCGAATCTCGTGATCAGATTTTGAAGTGAAGGTTGTGTAATGTGCCGGGTAAATGTTGGTATATGAGGGGCAGAGATTTTTATCAGTCCTCTCTGGGGGTAAGCTCAGTGATGAGTAATGAAAGAGAATCCAGAGGTCAGTTTAAGGTTTTATTGTCTCTGATCAAGCACTGCCCAGGTGTTCTTTGAGACAAGGGCTTTAATGGAAAAATGGATGAATGCGACTGTGCGATATACTTTTTGCAATTTGTAGCAGGGAAGTAAACATCCAATGTGAGATGTCGGATGAGTACGATGGTGGATTAGATTCAGATTAGATAAGCTCGGAGGCTCGATAAGATCATCGCATTGTTGCAATAATTTATCCGGGCTTTCGGGAGGATCGGAGCAGTCGGCCGCTCAATGATATCTCCAGTGGCTCGAGTGGCTCGAGTGGAGTGGCTCGAGTGGAGTGGGTATGCGATGTGGATCACTGGTGGATGATGCTTTTTCGAGAAAAAAAAAAATACGCTCTTCTCAAATCCAAACCACACCTTCACCACACTCCGACGTGAATGAGAATACAACGACAACGATACATCTTATTGTATTGCAGAGAGGTCAATTAAAAAACTCTTCATAGTACATCTTGTTCACTACAAGATAAAACTACTACGCAACCTAACTACGGCGATCGCAGTTGTCCCACGAACGATACGCACTTCCACGCTCCGGACTCGATGTACAGTTCGAAATTCAACGGTTTAAAGGCATCGATCAAGTTCCAACGAGAACTCCAATTTCTTTTACAATATATACAGATTTTTACTACAAATTTAAGAGGAAGCTGAGGTGGAAAGCAAGATACAACCTATACTTGGAAATATTTCACTTTCACCTACAATATCGAACATCAACACAATATCAGAAGACATATATAACCAGCACAAGGTAGACTTAATAGCGAAACTGAGTTCTTTTAAACTTTGGTTAGCCAATCGAGTCTTACTGTCGTCGTTCACAATACACGTTCGCGTCGAGGAAAAGAAAGACAATAAGCGTATTGTCGAAATTTGCTATTGTTAAAAAATAACAATTTGACCGCGTTTTACAGCCACCGACCCGACCAAGAAGACAATAGAGGATTGATTTAATTCAAAATGGCGACTAAAGTTATGAAGATGTACAAAACACCTCTATTTCCATCATTCGATTCTTCAAATACGCCAGCATACAACTATACGGGGGCATTCAAGTACAACCCACGGTCATTCCTAATGAAGAACCCACGTCAAAACAAGCTGTACGCACAGTACTTCGCTCAATCGAAGAATTATAGAAGAAGATCTGCGCGTAGTAGGAAGATGTCATCTCCCGCAAGATCAGCATCCTCCTCTTCTAATTCGAGCTCGAAATCATCTGTTTCTCCACCACCATCAACCAAGTCTTCTAGCTCGCATCCCGCAGCGAAATCCAATTCTCGTTCAAAGACGTCTGTTTCACCTCCGAGAAAACTGTCTGTCTCTCCGCCACCAATGAAAGCCGCCGAACCTACTGTTCACCCCAAAGAAATCGATACCCCTCCGTCAGTAGAGCCATCTACTTCTACTCCTCAATCATTGGCATCTGTTTTTCCTCGAGAAAACCCATTTGCCTCCTTATCTTCATCAAAGAATCTCAACAGCACACCTACTTCTCCATCTATTTCTTCCCTATCAGTAAAGAGGTCTGACAACATAACCCCTTCATCTGTTCCTCCCACCTCTTCAAAATTACCTCCGCCTCCACCCCCTTCATCCGCTATCTCGGCTATATCAAGGACGCCTCTACCTTCATCTTCTTCATCCGCTACTCAAAGGATACCACTACCCTCGCCCCCATCGTCTGTTGTCTTAGCTCCCTCGAAGCCAGCCGCCTCCTTACCGAACAAACCACGTCCAGATGATAAAAATGAGATAACCACCAAAGTCAATCCTCTTAAGCAAACAACTTCCGAGGCAAAGAGCAACACGATCACTATCAAAAGCATTGAGCCATCAAGACCTCACCCTGTTGTTAAAGACGAAAAGATTGCTGTCAAGGTTAGCGCTCCAAAGAGATCACGGCCAGATGATGAGGATGAAGAAACTGCTGCTCAGAGTGAATCCCCAAAGAAACGACGAATTGCTGCCAAGGTCTCGAAAGTCGCTACCAAGAACGCTACCAATTCCAAGCCGGCTGCAAAGCTTTCGAAAGAAGAATTGGAGAAGGCACGCAGTGACTCGCTAAGAAAGCGAAGATACTTGGTATGTTCATCAAGTATCACTCATTTATTCATACTAACTCTCATGTTCTTAGGCCTCGAAAGTACGCAATGACTCAACACGCATGCCATCAAATGCACAGAGGGGGTTGTCCAATGTTACTGGATATGCATGCTACAGAAACAGTCTTTTACAAGGTCTTTTACATCTTCCCAAGTTCTTCAATTTCTTAATTGACCAACATCCTGTGGAAACTTGTAAGCTATTCCCTATTTGAGGGTTTGTTGATCATTAGCTCACAAAGATTACTAGGCGACATACCCAAAAGAGATTGTTTGGCCTGTTCTCTTAGCCTTCTCTCTTCAAAGTATTGGACCGTTGATGTTCCTTCCAAGGATATCACACCAATTCTGAGAAAACTCGAGGTTCAGTGCAAGCGTCTTGGGTGGTATCCTGGACCCTCTGGTCAAGGTGATCCCCATGAGCAAATTACCTGGATGTTGGAAAAGATTGAGAAACAGATCAAGGCGTCGTAAGTTTTATTTTCTCTCGTTCGTCTATATCAAAATCTTACTGACCTTGTTTGTTCAGGAGCGTTGCCAGTATGCAGTCGATAATGCAGCTTGTTTTGAGCAGCAGAATCAAATGTGATCACTGTGATAACGTCTCTGTGGGAGACTTACAAGATGAACTAGCCTTATCCATACCCCTCAAGCCGCGTATTCGAGGTGGCTCTGTTTCCTCGTACTTGCAAAAGTACTTGGATGAGACCATTGAAGGTTACAAGTGCGAGAAGTGTAAGGTAACGGGGGACGTTCATCGCGTACAGTCGATCAGTCACGCACCGGATATCTTGTTCGTACAGCTTAAACGGTTTGGTTATGATGGAAGAAAGGATAAGCTTGCTATTCCGATCGACCAT